CTCTCCGGCACTCTCCGGCACTCTCCGGCACTCTGCGGCATCTCTCCGGAACTCTCCGGAACTCTCCGGCACTCTACGGTACTTAACAACACTCAACGGCACTGTACGGCCTTCGATAAGGCTCGAAAACACTTAAGAAACGCTCAAAAAACGATCTATAACGCTCGAAAACGCTTGAAAAACACTCGAAGACGCTCGAAGAACGCTCGAAAAAGCTCTAAAAACGCACGATAACGCTCAATTACTCTCAAAGACGCTCAATAACGCTCCAAAATACTCGAAAACGGGTGAAAAACGATCGGTAACGCTTAAAAACGGTCTAAAAACGCTCGAAAACGCTCGAAACCTCTTTGAAAATGATCGAGAAATATTTGAAACGTTCGAAAACGCTCGAAACGGTCGAAAAATGCTCGATAACGCTAGATAACACTCGAAAACGTTCGAAAACTTTCAGAAACGCTCTAGAAACGCTTGAAAACGCTCGACAACGCTAGTAGGAAAATGTAAAAATCATACGCGAAAGGACTCAGCTTATATCCGCAGTTAGATGAGCCTCGGGAGGATTTTTCGCAGTATTCGATCCTCAGGCATACTCGTCGAGTGTAGCGCCGAACGCACACATACTCAACGTCTCCACCCGTAGCTTGGCGCTTGGCTGGTTGGGACGCATTAAGATTTCTAGGAGCGATCGCACTCACGCAGATTCGCTGCATGAGAGTTCCAAGACACACCGACGCGTGCCCCGAAGCTCCGCATCACGTCGACTTCGTGGCAACAATGTACTTAATAGTAGTGGATAAGTAGATAAAGTCAAATGGAGCGTCATGAGTGTTCTTCCCTTACCATCAAAAGCGAGCAGTGTCGTTAAGCGTAGGTAAGCCACCACCGTCAACTGCCGCAAGGTATTACCATCACGAGTACGTGAGCCGTCAACGGTGACTGGTAGATGGTACCGCCATCGCGAGTGCGCGAGCTCCTATCAGAAATTCGTTGCGCCGCCCTTGGGGGCAGAAAACGGTGAAAGCTAACGTACGAAACCAGAGAGCAGCACAGGATACGATCGCACGATCCTTCGCATGAGCAATCTCCCAACTCATCTCTGTAACTCATCTCTGTCTCACAAATCATTTTTGGACTCTATGCAACTGTATGCCAATGAAGGTGTTGGCATTGTTGATTGCTATTCCAATTTCTCTAGTGAAAACAGTAACCTAGGAATATAGTTTGAAACCAACAATCAATCCTGTTTCCAGCATTTCTTAAAAATGTAAATATTACAGGCAACATAAGTAGCACTGTCCGGATGGTATACAAGGTAGTAATTATTATTTAACATTTATGTCGATTAAATACAGATCGAAGTGAATTCTTAAATCTCAATATTTGTTTAGTTCCAATTATTTGTTTTTGTCCTGGACGAAGTATTGCACGTCAAGTTAAAGTATTTATCCAAAGCGATGTTCAACCAAATGACCATTCGTGATCGCTGCGTATACAATGATTGCACAAATACCAGAGAAAATAGTGAATGCAGGTTTTTTCGATTTCCAGGACCAAGAGACCCCCGTCAACATATTTGGATTAAAAACTCTGGTATGAATAAAACTCATGTGTTATTCGTCCCTCATCTTTATTTATTAAATTGCTATTTTAAAAAGTTTTCTATCAATTTGTAATTTTATTACAGGAAATAACTGCTTAAAATTATGGTCAGCAGCAACCGTGCAGAATGCAGTATTATGCCAAAATCATTTTGCTTCTTATTACTTTACCGATGAAAGTCGTCATCAGTTAAGATGTTATGCTGTACCGGTATGTTATAAATCCAAATCAGATAAATCCAACCTTAGTGATTCTGTAACAGTTAAAGTTTTACAAAATTTAATGTTTCAAAATCCTTGTGGAAAAATAGAGGAACATTCAGGATTACCTACTCCTGAAAGTGACACAAATACCAGTATTCCTATTGAAGTAGCTTCAAGAGAGAATACTAGAAAATCTATTATAACTGATGGAATGAAAAAGCGGAATACCTTGCTCAATATATCATTACAACGATTAAGAATTAAATATGAAGAGAACCATTTAAAAATGGAAAATCAAAAGCTAAGAAAACGAAAATACGTTGGACAAAGAATAAATGCAATTTTAGAGAAGACCCATTTACGACCTTCAGCAAAAGCTGCAATTAGACTTCAATTACTGGAATGGAAAAGTCCTTATACTAAGGAAGAAAAAGATTTAGCAAAACAGTTACTTTTTCATTCCGTTTCCGCACTCATGCTATTGCGGAAACGAGGATGTAATTTTCCTAGTGAAAGTGCCATTTGGCAATGGATCACAGAATATGATAAATCTAATAATATGTAGCAGAATTCATTCAAAAGGTTCATTTTCAAATAAAAACGCATGTAATTTAATTGTATATAATGTGACATCATTTTGTACAGTTATCTGTTATGTGGACACCACTCGACACTGACTTACAGGTTAATGGAATCAAATGTATCATTTATATAAATCTCGCACACAATAAAATAATCAACTAACGGGTTACTGATTCTTCGATTTATTCTGAAAGATTTATCCGGTAATTGAACATAACCTCATTTTGGTAGCAGTGCTTCCATCTACTACACCAAAACGTAACGTATTCATATTTACTTAACTATTTTCTAAACGATTCTACAGTTGGGGTTCTATTTAGTAATACTTTCCGTGACATAAATCGTGTAAACAAAACCTCCAAAACATTATTGCCGTTACCACTGTAATATATAAATTTTGTAAGTAGATGTAGAATATTTGTTATATAAATACAAAAATTATTACGTGAAATGTCTACGCAAGAGATAGAGGAGACTCCAAAAACGGAATTTCATTTCATTAAAGAAGTCGATTGCAAACAAGGAGCTGTACGCTCAGTACGTTTCAGTGGTAAGTATACTAGAATTCAAATGTATTTAAAATTATTTGATGATAGACATTATTTGCATATAAAATTTTAGTCGATGGATCATATTGTCTGACATGTGGATCGGACAGAAAGTTGAAACTATGGAATCCATACCGGAGCGTTCTTTTGAAAACTTACGGAGGACATGGAGATGAGGTAATGGATGCAAGTCCTTCCTGTGATAGTAGTCAATTGATATCTTGCGGTTCAGATAAATCTGTAATTCTTTGGGATGTGGCCACGGGTTCACCTGTACGAAGACTTAGAGGCCATGCAGGACCCGTTACAACAGTCAGGTGAATTTGCGTTAGAAAGTATCAACTTTTACATTCTGCAATTATTAATTTATATATTTGTTTACTTTTCATTTCAGATTTAATGAAGAATCTTCTATGGCAGTCTCTGGTTCTCGAGATAACGCAGTAATGTGTTGGGATATTCGTTCAAAATCCTTTGAGCCAACTCAGGTTCTTAAAGAAGCTAAAGATTCAATATCCAGTGTGAGGGTCTCGGATCACGAAATATTATCAGGTTCTTTTGATGGAAGAATACGCAGATATGACATACGTGTAGGAGAGGTGCTAACAGATTATATTGGAGGTTTGTACTTTCAACACAAAATCAAAAGTGGCTAAAACTATAAGAATTGGTGGAATAATTACATCTGTGGATATAATGAATTGAACAAAATGTCTTTTAGATGCTGTAACCTGTGCCAGTTTCACAAGAGATGGGCAGTGTATCGTTGTTAGTTGTGCCGACGGAGTCATTAGATTAATGGATAAAGATTCGGGTGAACTACTTGGAGAGTTTACAGGACATTCTGCAGATAATTTATGCTTAGAATCCAGTATCGATTGTCAAGATGTATATATAATTTCTTGTTCTGGAGATGGTAAACTATGGGTTTGGGAGTTGGCCACGCAGAAAGTATTTGCTAAATTAACTGGGCTTGATCCCTCCAAGCACCCCACCGTTTCCCTTAGCGTACATCCACAAAGAAATTGTATCTTGGCTACGAGTGGAACAAAATTACTAATGTGGGACACTGTAAATTGTAGCATAGATTAATATTATCAAGTTTCTTTCCATAAAAGCTTAATTTTTGCAATGAATAGAATGTACATACTATGTCGTTTGTCATTTACTTTAACGCCTTTAATTTCAAAGTTCACTTTAAGACTTTAAGCTACTTATTTTGATTCAATAATGCATCATTAAAAGAACATAAAAATCAGTTCCTCTGTAAATTAATAACGCAGTTAATAAATAAAATTATAAATTAGATTTATCTTCCGAGGTTAGCAAAACTCATCTAAATGATTTTTTATGTACTATGCACGTTATAGGTTCAAATAATACTATTTATTAAATAAATTATGTACATAGTCTCACTTATAGGTAGAACATTACCTGTCATCACTGGAATATCATAATCATTATATAAATTAACCGAATAATCAAGGCTGTCCTACCAAAACGCTAAATTGACTTTATAGGCCTAGTTGTTACTTAAAACGTACGTACAAATCATCTGTCTCATGTGACTCGTTACATATCCTCAAAGGTATGGACAAATAATCATGAGGTTTTCAAGAAACCGCTAGTGGGGGCTGATAGGATATCAGTATTTAACTTTTTCAAGGTGAAAACTGATTGAAAACGTTTCGATTGCTTTCCTTCTTCCTTCGACGCCTCGCACAGGAGTGCAATCCACAATTACATAGGTATTATCAGGATTATCACAGACTGTGTATTTATAACTTAAATCCTACTCAGTTATAATTTAAATTAGCATCGATTCCTTTCCCTTGTCCTTCCGTATTTCGCACGATAAGGTAAAGTCAATCTAGAACGCATTGACAACATTCGTTTCGTAGCTTTATCGCAAGCTCGACAGATTCTCTTTCGGTGAAGAATTTCAATCCTAGTGCATGCTGCGAGATGTTACCTACGATGGTTATTAAAATTCATGAAAGCAATCGTTAAAAAGTAGATGTACAAAATAAAAGGCAGTACCTCCCGTCGCGTAAACTACGTCGCTGTTGTTATTTCTGCTCCTAAACTTATAACAGTCACTTATCGCGAACGATTTCAAACGTCATCACTGGACAGGCTTCGAATACTTTTTTGCTATTTTCTTTCCGTTTACTCATACCGTTATAAACATTTTTATTTCTATCTACGAGCTGGAGCAAGATTTGTCTAAGGAAGATCAGCTAAATTTGTTTTCCTTCTCTTATTTGCGAGGTACAACTTAACCGTTGGACATTTATCTCGCCGTTCTCGCAATTTGCAATTGTTAATGATTTCGCGAAACTCTTTCATAAAATGTCAGATATCTTGAAACATACATAAATATTTCCTTTTCCAAAGTGATGAGTGATTCCAAATCGCATAGCTGTGAATACGAGTACTAGAGCTGAATCGAGTCGTTAACACTTTTGGTCGTGATTAAAGTAATCATTGATAATTATCGAATATATCGGTTTTCCCAGATCCTTAATTCTTTGCACTCGAGGCCTCTTTCGCCCGGACGAACCAGCAACTCGAGACGATTTTCCGCATATTTGGTGAATTTCATCCAGCTAACTTAAAATGATTTCACATAGAAATCAACATATTGAACTATTATATTTTAAATTATTATGTATCCCTACGCGTGAAAGAAGAAAATTTGTTAAATATTAAGAACTGTATTGTTGCTTTGTATGGTATGTTATAAAACACTCGCCAAGATGCATCCTCGGCTTATCGGGGCTATTATTGCAGTAATATGTTGTTTGATGTCTTTCGCCGGACTTATTTCGTTTAGAGCAAACCTTGCAATCCTTCTTAACTCCTCTTAGAATGACATGTAGCTTTCCCCATTCGATCGAATTTTGTCGAAACTAGAGATCAAAGTAGAAGCTCGATCACGAGTGGATTTTTTTTTTTTGGGCATGGCAACTCCTTATTTGTTAGGATCGCCCCAGTTAAATGGCGAGGGGTATCGTTCTACCCTTTGTCAAATTGTACAAACATATATATACCTTGTTACCGATCGGGTTTCCGTATCAAACGAAATGGTGACTGAGAGTCACCTCTCGAGTGCAAAGGATTAATTATTTCAGTAAATGCAATATATGATCTCTTGAAGGAAGTTGTTCATCCGCGTATTCCTCTCGCAATGTTATCTCGTTTCATAAAAATTAGTCACAGGCAAATAGAATTTCCATTGGCGTTTCTTAAGGCTCGCTTTTTTGAGATTTCAGATTTTTAAATATTGTGTGCGAGGCAACTGAACCAGAAAAAGTGTATTACTTTTAATTTTGAATAAATTTAATAGACATAAAATGATATTAAAGAACTGGGGGGGGGGGGGGCTCGAAGAAGCAATGCTCACTCCAGCTAATTTACGGTCTAAAAAGTACGAATTATCTCAGAAACTTACACGAATTATTTAGAAATAGTATACAGCGCCGAACGAGCAATCGTTTTCCTCTATTTCCTTAAGTTCGAGTTCAAGTCAAGATCAACCATTATGGAGATAAACTAATAGAAACTGGCCAAGAAACGATGATCGATTTCCAAAATAATGGAGGGAAAAAAAAACTGACGCGAAAACTACAAAAATAAATAAGTAATAATTGGTTCGCCCGATTGATTGGCAATTGAGTAAATATGCTTTATATTGTTAGTATGTGGACGCAATCGTGCGCGAGAGAATAATAAGCTCTAAAGAACATAAAAATTGCAGCTCGAAGTGGCTTACTTGCGGCTTCTCTCAGTACCCTAATTGACAACTGCCATAATCTTTTCTTTTTTCTTTATAATATGCAACAACACGTCTGCCAGTTTCCACAATCTACTTTAATCCATCAAAGATTGACGGTCGTGTTCCGTTAAAAGGACAATAAACGCTTTGGACATCGTCTCTGCTCTGCATCTTGTGCTTCGTATGGATGCATTAAATACCGCAAATACTTCTAAAACATATTAAAAATATAGGACCGTTAAATTTAGATTTCTAATACTTCTATCAATCATAACGAACGATTGCCCGTTCTTCCGAGCTGAGTGAAAAGGTCAGGACTGCGTCTCTGAGATAAAGGCAACATTCCCTCTCAGGGATATTAAAGTTCGCTTTTCTAGAAAAAACATGTCCCGGATGTTTTTCCCCTTTCATCGGTGCTCATGGATGGTCACAATGAAATATTGCACATTGATCTCGAGTGCCGCGGATTACGCAGCTGAACAATTTTCACTCGGTACGGAGTACCTCGACGGTGAATTCAATCCGGAGATAATGAGTGTCCGAAAAGTGGCGATGCAGAGATTCCGTATGCACTTAGATCTATCCGTCGAGGGATGCTTAAGACTTAACGTTCAACGGACGCATCAACTTATACACGTAAAGGAGAAACATCGAGAGACGAGGTCCTTAAAGCTTCCGTCCCGAACGGATGTATCGTCGCAATTATAGTACTAACTCAAAATGAGTGCGGTGCGCGAGGGTCACGCGGCCCCTTTCCGAACACTTTACACAGTAAAACACTGACAAGGACACGTAGCATGCACTCGGAGTTAACTGGGCAGTCGGTCGTCTAATCGAGACACTTGACGAGCCAGGCAGGATTTGCCAACTCGATCTTCACCCCTCCGCGGTGATTGAACCGCCTGAAAAGGGTCGTTGACAGTGTCCGGCTCGTTTCGTCGATTGCACGGGAATTTCCAGACACTATAGAGAACACCGACACACGTGATCCACGTGTCAGCTCGACGTCTCGTACATGTAGCGTGTCACGTTAATCGTCACGTTAAGCTTTCGTTGGGCGAGATCTCTAAGAGCGCTGACCGTGCCCCTGGAGGGAGCGCACGAAGTGTCAGCAGCGTGTCTGAAACATAACTGCAAGGAAGATATGATGATCTCAGGACTGCCAGATTCGCGTAATAGAAACCCTCGAATCCTACAAAACGTTACAGCCCAAGGCATAAATAATTTCCAAGCTCCGTTAATACATAAAACGTGTAATTCAGGATTTTCTTGAAAGCGAATCTGACTCTGCTCTTCCTGAACGTATCTGAACTCGTGATCTGTCCTTGAATGGTAATAAGAAAAAAAAAATCCCCAAGTCGTGGAAGTTTCAACTATCCGTCACGTAATCCTTCTACTCTCCAAAGGCCCCGATCGAACTCGCGAGTTAGGCGTACGAGTCCATCGGACGTCATTAAAATCCTTTAAAGATTCTGCGTCTACCAAGGTACACCGTGTCTCCTAGCGATACCGAGAACCAAGGGCCAACCGTCCGTCTGCGCTCGAGGAGAATTAATCATACCCATCACCGAAGCATCACGATCAAGGTATTGCGATACCGCTGACATCCATCCTTCGCCTATCCCGACGCATCGCGTCCTACCGACATCAACGGTCCGAGACATTGACCCGGTTTAACGCTACGGCCACATCCTTCGTCGGTACTTTTCACCGGCATCATTGCAAGGTACAATACTAGGTCGTTGCCTCCAGTCGTCAAGCTCTATCTCTAATCGACAGGTACAACAAATTCCGTCAAGTGCGGCGCCTCCTTTCCTCCGTCCCGGCCGTTCACCAGAGCCCGAGGTCCCTCGATCGACCGGAGGACCCATCGCCAAGACGTCGCCGCCTGCCCGATCGCCGAGGATCCCGCTCCGCTCTCCCGTCCGTGGGAGGGTGTCGAGTCTAAAACGAAACAACGAAGTACCAGGAGACGTACACGTGGGGGCACGCGTCGACGCGATTACTCGGTATCTCGCGGGGTGCGCGTCCTAGGACTCCCGTCCTGGGCCACCACCGATTACCGAACCCGTTTTTTATCGGGCGAACCCGAGGAAATCGGTGAGCCTGTCGTTCCAATCGTGAAGCCAGTGGGAGGGCCCGTGGACGGCGCGTCTTCGTTTGCAGGAGTTGACCTCCTTCTCGGGCGGCATGTACTCCTCGCCCCGGATGCAGAAGTAGCTCTTAATCGGACTCCGGCACATGGGACACCTGTCGAGCTTGCCAAAGCAGGAGGCGCAGATGCAGGTGTGCCGGCAGGGGAGCAGCGCCCGGGACAGAGGGAAGTACTGGCAGACCACGCAGAGTTGCTCGCCCGTGCTATTCCAGAGGGAGCCCTCGGCGTCGCCCGCCCCCGAGGCCACCAAGGCACCTCTGGTGGCACCCCCGTTGGATCCGCTGTCGTTGCACGGTTCCGCCAGAGCCAGGGCGGGACCGATCCCCGAGGAGACGTGCTGCTCGTCGTAATTCGTCGAGTTGCCGGTCGCCAGGTACAGTTGCTGGATGGAAACGAACTCGTTAGTCTCCAGCTGGCGAAGGTGCGAGCGAATTCCCGAAGGATAAATTCCTCCGCAGAGTTAAATTACCGACATTAATTGGATCACGATTGCCAGGAGTCGTAGATTTAGCGCATTTCGACTGTACAGGGTATAACGTAATTCTCGGCGATGGTTTGTCCGTCAGTATCCTTGTTGCAGAAATGGAGTCGGAAAGACCTGTATAATTTCTTTTTTTTTTTTTGCTAATGTATATAGTTCTCTGCGTGGAAGCCACCTGGTGGTTCCAGAAATTCTCAGCAAGGAAAACGACGTATAAACCGTGGCCACGACCCTGGACAACTGCAGATGGTAATAAAAAAACCTACGTACTTTCAGGCAGGACAACTGTCCGTTGGCTTGCTTCAGATACTGGGCGAGGATGGACGTGGGCAAGGTGCAGACGCTGTCCTTGATGTGCACTACGTTCACCAGGGCTACCTGAAGACAAAGAAGGATATCACGTGCGTGTGCCTCATTTCGACTCGATTTCGATACACGCGTACACTCACGGTTTCGTCCGGATGTGGATCCCCGTTATCTCTGCGTGTCAGAAAAATCACTAGGGGATAACACAAGCGAGGCGGAGTTCCCAGCTCGAGTTCCGGTGCTGGAAGAGAGAGTCTCAGAGTCTTCTCCCCGTGGGGTTGGCTACTGTATCATTAAACTAAGGAAAATTACGTTCAAGCAGTCCTTCCAGCGAGCAAAAATCAACAATATTTTATTCGCAAACAGAACAGGAAAGTAACGCTTTAAACGTCCCCTCCTTTCTTATGTTTCTCTTTATCGTTCAAGGATACGCTTGAGGAGCCGTGACGTACTGAGCGTGACCTTGGAGCAAAGTCCCTTTCAAGGACGCGTCTCTTAAGGTACTCCAGGACTTCCAGAGGGCTAAATGGAGCTCCCTTATACTGACGCCCCAGATCGCCTGGAGAGAGTACTCTACTTGGCTGGACACCTCGCATTCGACTTCTGCAACAGATGATGAAAACGATATAAATTAATCAACGTCTAGTTAGGCCGAGAATGAATAATTTCGCGGGTACGAAATAATTATTGCTGCTATCACTTAAAACTGGCGGAGTCGACAAACCGGACGGAATGATTGATCTATATCTGTATCTGTATGTTGTGTATCTGTATTCGAATCTGTATACAGGTGACGAGTACTCAATCTCACGTACGTCCAGAAAGGAGTGCACTTGCTCAGCAACGTTTACCAGTGGAATACCTTGGACGGCAGCGAGGATTCATCCTCCTTGATCTAGAAATGCTAGTCATGACCCGGTTAATCAAGAAGCATTAATGTTCGACGGTTCGCATTGGAAGAAAGAAAAATAAGACAAAGGAAGAAGCAAAGAGAGAGGTAAACTCTGATACTCGGAGGCGCTTCAGGTATTCGCATTTCCACTGAACGGCTTCGTCTCCATTTTAGAAATATGTAGATCGATCGGGTGACCAACCGGTAATCGAGGACTTGCCACTGAGGCAAGGCTGCTTTACCCGACCTTGAAAGCTCAATATAATAATAAGCAACCGACCGAGCAAGGAACGAACGACGAGGGAAAAAAACAGTGTTCGCCCCCCCCCCCAAAAAAAAAAGACCAGAACTTCCAGTCCTATTCGTGGTAATATTAAGCCGTTCCGGATTTCCACATCGATGGAATAGATTACCGGTAAAAAAAAAAATGTAACCAATAATAATGGAAAAAAGAACGGAGAGACACCACGATGTTCAGGGTCCGGGAATACAGCCTCGCCAAATGGATTTCTCATTCGGGGCGAGTCTTCGAGTATGCACGAAAGAGCGTGAGTAATGCCCATTGCAGAATGGCTCCCTCAATTGGCATCCAGCCTGGTGCACATCGCGTTGTTTGTGCGCCGCGATCTGTCAAACGACCCCCTCTCTCTTTCGGTGCATCCTCGAAAGTTCTATCTTCGGCTCGTGCCTTTGGGGTCGAGAATCACATAGGTAACCTCCCTCCGCTCAATTCCTCTTAAGAGTATTTCTTAATAAAATATCTCTAATTCAGGTTCAAGTTAAAAAAAAAAAAAGGAGGAGAGGGAACATCGAAATACCGTGAGCGAAAGTGAAAGTCGGAGCTCGATCTGCTCTGACAGAGCAGAGTCCGTTTACGCTCTTTGTGCGGACTCTGAGACGCGTGGAACCATTAAGGATCGTTCAGCTTTTTCTTCCATTTCGGGTGACAACATTTATCTCACGCCAAGAAAACGTAGCCCCTCCGGTTGGGGAGTACACCGTGGAGATGACATCGTTCACCTGGCGCGAAGTGCGCTGCGCGACCTTAGACCATAAATATCTAGACCTCGCATAGCAGTGGAAGGGGTAAACTCGAATATCACATGGACCACGTGTGCCGATGGCACTCGGATCCAATCAGATTTTAGACCATATATTTATCTAGACCGCCTTGCAGTGGAAGGGGTAAACGAATGTACCATGCGAGGTCTAGATACATATGGTTGAGTGCGCGACTGAAGGCTCGGACGCTGCGCGCAGCCACTTTATACACGCGCAGGCGCCATAGACACCTGTAAATTTGCCCAAATGTTTTTCCAAACCGTCGATGTTTCAGCGTAAAACGACGCCCGCCGACAACAATCTGCCAGCTGGCGGCGTAAAATCACCCGGATCGCGGTAACGTTCCGCCGCGACCTTTTCTCATTTTGCGACCGTCTAAATAACATTACGACCGCAACAAATCAACCGTAAACAACACCGTTTCGAATGACATCCCAACCACGGACAAATCAACCCCCGATGACCAAACGCCCACGCGTTAACCTCCGACAAGAATAGTCCTCGCTCTGCTCCAGCTGCAAACTAGTTTTCCTATTTTTCCGCAATTAAGGCTACTTTGTAATTCGACTGGTCGTGCGCGTCAATATCATTGTCATTGTATGTAACAGTTAGTCCAGCATGGTAGCAACGCGAATGTGCGAACTTGAATATAAGCGATCTAATAATAAACGTATTTAAACATTTCTCCCGTACATTGGGACCCTAGATCAATCGGCATGACGCGGACGCCTGTTTTCCACGCACCCTGGTGTCTCGCGCGAAGACCGAGCGCGCCGATTGGCTGACGCCCGGCCGGCGCGGACCAATCAGCGCGCGCGACGATTGTCTCGCCTGTCGCGCGCGCGTATAAAATCACCCATGCCCACGCGGATATGCTCGAAGTTTCGACCGCGGTCGACGGGTAGGTTTTCTCGCGGCGAATGGCACGGGTCCTTTACCGGCAAAGATCCGTGTACTGGAATCAGCGAGGAGGCGGCCTTGAGTTGTACTACGCCCGCTCGGTCACGTACGCAGCCCGCGGAAGAATTCGCGTTTGCCGGCGGAGTTCCCGCGCGCGCAGTGCAGGCCAATGGCCGCGCGTCTTTCCCCTGTAGCCGCCGCGCGAGGACCGACGGTATATCGCCGCCGTTTCCCCTTCTTTCTTTTATTTTTGTTTTCTTGTTTTCCTCACGGTACTCAGCTCCAGCTTCCGCCCTTGGCCCCCTCTCACGGCGGAAAATACCTTACGGTAACGAGCGGTAAGAAACCCTGCCCGTCTGCACGTACACCGCGCACTTATCCTTCCCGAGTATAAAGCGGGCTAAAATGCAAATCACATTGTACCGCGGTTAACGGTCACCCAGGTCCTTTTGAGGCCTTTCTCTATGCTCGACTCGACGTAGACGACCGTCATTGCTCTCTGTTTTTGACGGAATTTTCGCCAGCCCACTGCGTGCCGATTCACTCGCTCGAATTGGTCGTTTCCGTTGGATCCGACCAATGGCGGGGGCCTGTCAAATCCACGGCTGGAAACCGCCGTGGTCGGTGCAGCCTTGGCGCGTCGCGTCGCGGCACGGTGACGAAATCGACACACGTCGGCGACACAACGTGTCGCATTGCGTTAGAATCGCTGCGGGGTGAGAGACTGTGGGGCGAACCGCAGCGGTCGCTCGCGGAAACCCGCGACTCTTCCTCTTGCGGTATTTTTTCCCATTCGTTGACGCATCGTTAATAGTGATTCGATATTTCGAAACCCTTCTAATGCAAATGTAGAAGTAAACTAAACCCAGGAACGACAAAACTCGAGATGAAAATCGAACAAACGTGTAATACATTTTGAAAAACCCAAAAGACCTCGAAATTGGTCTACTCGACCCTAAAATCCCAAACGCAATTGAATGCAATATTTCAAAATATATTTTGAGAAAACTTATACTGCATGTATAGTATATTCCGAACTAATATTTTTAACTGCCCTATCAGGAGTCAGTATCGTCTGGAAGCAATTTTATCTTGAGTCCCAGCGACCACCAGCGACGGGATAATTGCGATCGATCCAGCGATCGCTGCTACGTTCCGAATTCGCTAGAGGCTACGTCATTCCACCTGTCGCCGGGCTCAACCCGGACAAACGCGTGACCGACGACTAAAAGAGACGAGAACGAGGCATATTCGCAATTATCGCCGCAGCGTGAAAACGCCACGAGCCACTGAAACGCCGCAACAAATTACCGCCTCGATGTCATTAGACGACAAGATGTATGGATTTCTTTTTCTTTCAGCGCGGCGATGCGCCGAGATAAAACTCGGCGTGAATAAGTCACCGTTTACCTCTTCGACCCTAGTTTAATTAGTGTATTCTGCAAATGTACATTTTTTTGCAGGAACGTCGGCATGATCGCCTCACGTGAGGTACAAAGAAATTCCAAGTGTACACACGGGTCATAAAAATCACTGCTAATTTCCCCTACTATAAAATGAGGGAAAAAAAATGGAAACGTCATCCGAGGAGGTGGATAAATTTGTTTCACGAGCGTCGGTTTTTCTGTCGAGGTAATAACCCCACCATTAAGGAATTAAAATTAATCGTTCATTTATAAGCAACGTGGTATCTCGTTAGCTCGTTGATTCATCGACGCGTCTATTTTGAGAGATCGTCCCAACCGACCGAAATGAATTCCGGCTAGTCACGGGGACATTTTTCCTGGGTCTCGACATTTCAGCGTGTTTATTTCCTAGGCAGACCGAAGACGGGAAACGTCAATCGGGGCCACATGTGCGACAGGAACGACTTCTGGGTGTTACGTAGGTCCTAGGAAATCCGAACCCGCTGTCGCCGCTGAGGTGGAATTATGTATTCCACCTTGGCAGGTAATCGTTCCGACCAAAAAGAGCTCCGGCGGGTCGAAAAAACACTTTCCTGCCTCTAAAGCATCCTAACGAGTTGATCTTTCACAGTTAATCAATCGCCACCAAGGTGGAATTATGCGTGCCAAGTGTCGAGGATCACGCGCGTGTCCGGCTATCGGGTAGATCTCAAGGCGAATCTCAAGACCCCTTCTCCGAGGGCATTGTAAACGCCTTTAACGGGATATTCGGAACGCGTTCACAAGGAAGAACGTATGCTAAACGTCGAACCCGCGTTCTCATTCGAACGGCTCGCCATTAAGCGGGGTCCATAAAGCCTCGCATTAACTCATTTCCTGGTCAAAAAAGGAAAATCATTTCCTACCCGGGTAAGCCCAACGACCGCCGGAGAATAATTATTACCTAAACATTCGTTATGCCATACGTACCGAGGCATATGCCTTGTAACGCGTAGAGCGGAAGGTAAACCTAAACCATGTGAAAGGACATCGACGACCCGAGGGCAGCTATAACCGTCGTCAAACGACCGGGAACGATCTCGTCGACGGTTCTCTTAAAGTCGACCGTTCGAGTCGAGGGTCGACATCTCGCCACCCGAGTTCGCAACCTCGACGCGTGGAAGGGCACGTCGTTATCGACGGGCCTCAGGTCGGTAACGTCCACCCCCCTTGCCGCCTCGGTGGCGTTGGTTCCCGACCGCGACACGCGGCGTCACGTGAGGTGGCGTGGTGTGGCGTGGAACTACGCGCGCCGCGGATTCGCCGCACGTACGCGCGCGCGCACACAGGCAGCGCGCCTCGCGCCAGTCGACGCTTCGCCCCGAACAAGTGCGCACGTAATCTGCGTTCGACCGGGAAAAAGCATGGAAGAGCGCATCATAGCGAAGGTATACGAGCACGAGTTCCTCTACAACGTCCGGCTCTCGCAGTACAGAGACAATCAGCGTCGGAAGGAGGCATGGGAACAAATCGGCCGAGAGCTTAACGTTTCGGGTAAGACGAGAACTTAGCGGCGACAACGCGCGCGCCGCTCTGAAGTTGCCGCCTAGTTCGTCCCGGCAGCGCCGGCGGCGCTGCGAGCGGTGCGCGCGCAGCGTCCGCGGATCACGCGAATTCATCGCTCTCACGGTAGACCATTCAAGATGGACAAAGGGAAAGAACAAACCCCTTCGACGGTCCGACAAATTGAAATACGATCGTAGACCACCCCCCTTCCCTGTTTCACCATACCGCAAAGACAAGTGCGCCCAAGGGAATACGTTTCGAGATGTTTCGCTCTGATCCAGGGGAGGGACTTTACCGACTGACGAATCTAAAATAATTAAGAACTAATTGAGATCAATTGATCGAGATGGTTCCCCTCGTTTTCCCCTCCAGCTACCGAGTGCAAGGAGACCTGGGGCAAGCTCAGGAACTGTTTATTGAACGCGCTCAAAAGGCGGCGGAGCGCGAGCAACGGGCATGCCACGAAGTTCTCGAAGTGGAAGTACGAGGACCAAATGGCTTTTCTCATGCCGTTCCTGTACAGCCGGCAGTACGTATACACCTTCATCGATCGTTTCAAAGCCCGAAGGAAATTCTTTATTTATATTCCTTTCCTCGTGCTAATAGAGACGCTTTCGATTCAACGCCATTCTTCGAGACTTCGAAGCTCCGAAGATACAGTCCTACCCCCGCGCCGATCGAACCACCTCCTTTAGGATCCTCTTCTCCGTACTCGAAGCAGCAGTCTGGCCTGGAATCGTCTCTCCTGAGCCCGGTAAACAATTCCCTGATAAACGACGCCCAGGAGGAGAGCGGTTTCCTGCACTCGGACGACAACGCGACGGAGGAAAACTCTCGCACCAGGGTGCAAACCCTGACGACGGTCACCCCCATGAAGACGCTCAAACTCGAGGAGGGACAGACCACCGGACCCAGCCTCCACGGTCTCCGGACCGATAGCGAACGATTCCACGGCAGAGAGTCCTCGACCAGAGAGCACGTCCACGATGAGACCGAGATGTTCTACATCAGCATGGCTCGGACTGTGAAGAGGCTGCCGGTAATGGACCAGGCCAAGATCCGGATGGAGCTCTGTAGACTGGTGTCCGAGGCCGAGATAAGAACCTTGCATGCCCGGCAAATCGCGTGCACCTCCTCCGACGGGGCCTCTCATTCGCAAATCTCCTCGCCCGCGAGATCGCCCATGCCCGATCTAATTACCGCGGCTCTAAGTACGCCCATCGCGTCGATGCAACAGCCATCTCTCAGTCCGAACAATCCGGAATGCAAGACCGACGCGTTCGAAGCGTTCGAAACTCACTCTATCTCTACATAAATATTCCCAGTCGCGGCCCGGTGATTATGCCGGACGAAGCTCTGAATGAAGTGTCGAACGAAATACTAAATGCAGCGCCAATGGGGAAGAAAGAGAAGCGCAAATGGGAGACCGCATTGTCGAGTACAGAGTCACCGAGAGAATCAGTCCGGACCAATTCCTATCAATTAAACTGTATCATACGATGAATTTTCTAAGGGGCGGGGCGCTTAATTTCATCCCTGCGAATTAAACGCCCCCGTTGCGTCCGTGCGCTGTTATCGATCTAACGTTAGATGTAGGATAAGAGGAGCAGGGAAATTAATGGAAGTAACCAGAGTAGTAGATACGTGCACCAGCAATTTGATACTTTTTGCGAACACCATATCTCCGAGTGAAAAATCGTTTATAAAGAGTTTCGTTAATAAAGTCGCACGCCATCGTACCGTGCACTCACGTGTAATGTGATATATAGAGTAATAAATCATAAAGATCGAGACTAGCCACGCGATACGAGAAATCGTTAATCTCTTCCCCGCCATTCTCATTCCTCCTCCGGGCCGGATTGCACGTATCGCGTCGAATCACGTGCAAAAGGGCTGCACGAGCATCGTCGGTCCTCACTCTTCGCGTAAAAATCACGAGCCCGCCGTTCGTAAACTGCCAGTCTTACAAAGCTCATTTCAATATTCCAGCCAGAGCCACGTTAGAGGCATGCCTGGCAAGCAGACGAGCGGATTCCGCTCGCGCTCCCGTGCCGCGTAATTAGAATAATTAAAGCCGTCGATTCGGCTCAAGGATGGCCTTCCTCGGTCTCGATGGAAGTCCCTTCGAGAGCCCTACTCGATATCTCGCCGAGTCATCCCAAAATGCCGTTCCCTCTTAAAATGTCATGAAAGGTTAATGTTACATACATCGAAACGTCAAAATATTAATGTCCCTTCTCCAAACCGGATGGACCAAAATCATTTGAAACTTCATCCTGTGATTACAGAGACCCCAGGGAATAACCCTATGCACGTGAGATTTCATTTTTCAAAAAACAATCTGTTGATTGTATCCCAGTCTAGAACCAGGGACACGTATATATATATTTTCTTTTTTTTTTTTTTAATCAAATTGCACGAGCAACACTTTCCTCCTTAGGACCTCCGTAATCATAAAGGTGAAGCTTCAAATAATTCGGTGCACCCGGTTTGGATAAAAGTTTTATAAACATATAGAATGACCCTTTTGTAACATCTTAACTGTCTAGGAATTCGACTCTTTCCGTGTACGTCATATTCTTCCGATCGCATATACGAGAGGAGATACGTTCGCGGTGTAGGGGGGGCGCTCGCATTTTTAGTTAACGACAGAGTGCAACAATGATTCCCGATCGAGCCGACGAGTCTTGGTTCTCGAGACTTCCTCCTTCTTATGCAAGGTCTGCCTTGCGAGACACGCGAGCACGAGAGGAACGGCGTCACCGTTGCGTACCGTGATTGCGTGCCGCTTAAGGCACCGTTCACAACGTACGGCGATCCTCAACAATGAGTCGAAGGATGTCAAATGACGTAAGGGAAATCATCGCGTGCGAATTATCGAGACCCGCGTCGTTCTCGTCTCGAGCACGACCCAAAAGTATTCGTTCCCATTTCTCTATGTGCAGGAAGGATCTAACTTGGTCGGCATATCTCGGTCCATCGGGGATCGCGCGCGACAACCGCGGCAATCTCGGCGGCACTTTCATTTTCGCTTCCTAAAAAAGTGATACGGTAAATACACGTAGCGCGTAACCGGCTGTCGAAATTAGGAAAGTATTACATACGGCTTATGTCACGGGCGTGCAAACGCGAGGAACAAGCGGAAGGGGTTTTGCAACCGTCCAGTGCTCCGATACCTCGAAGGGATTGCGATAACGCGCGTTAGAGCCGGGCTCGCTGAGAAATTAGCGAGCACGTCGCAACTTTGTAAATCAACGTTCGGGATATATCTTTTTTAAAGGCCCCTAGGTGCGAATCGTGAAAATATCCCGCCGTTACCCGCCATGGCACCGAGGCCGAGATATCCTATCACTCCTACCATCGAGACACGCCGAGATTCAACGCTCCACTCTTTAAACGTCGCGAAAAAGATTAGAAAGACCGGCAACGACCGCGAACAAATCGGACGACCGTTTCGAACGACTCCTCGAAACCGGCCTCTTCGAAGAGTTAGTGAAACATTGATTAAATTTGTATGTGAGATATTTATTAAATTTCAGTGCCAAACTTCGGCGCCGAGTATTCGGTGCGATTCCGGGCACCCTTTTTAATGTATCTGGCGTAAACCTCCCGAATAACCCGACCAGACCTCCTCGCGCGTGGTGTCGCACAGCGCGCGCGGCGCGTCATCGCGTCGTCGCGTCACCGCGTCGTCGCGTCCGACAAGCCAATCGGAGCCACGTCGCTTCCACCGCGGTTCTAATACATTTTTTGATTTCCCCCCTTTTCTCGAGTCGTTTTCGACCAGTCGCGTTCCTTGGGCTAGAAGACGAGATTCTCTCTGTCGGCCAATGACGCAATCCGAACGAAGATAAGCCCACGGGTCCAAGAGAAACGTCGCCGGTGCGAGGCCGAGTGTAACCTTGGCGTCGCCGATACGTCCGGGGATTCGTCAATTACCCAACGCCCCTCCGCGTAATCGAAGGTAAATCGATCGCCGAAGGGCAACGCGCGAGACCGACCTCCCGCGACACCTGCGATTGGCAATCACCGCAGGAAAATCGACTCGACTTATCTGTCCCCTGGCCGTACATAGATTTCGCAATGGCGCGCTCGCCGGCCAAGAGGAAACTGCGCGCCGACCGTCGCCCGCGTTATTTCGGCACGAGGATTACCTGCGGTCTCGAATATTTTCTTGTCTTTATTCTCATTTACCACGAAAAAGGAGAAAAACTCGCGTCAACCGTGCAACCGGGGGGCGGAGGGGGGAAGAGGAGGAGGAGGAGGAGGAAGACCCGAGTTATTTTCCGCGCGCGACAAAACTGCAACCGGCTAATCGGTAAATCACGTTGTTTCCTCACAACCCGATTTGAGCAAAGGACCGGTCGAACACCTTTCATTCGCAACTCGACAGACAGGCTTCGTTTTTCCAGAGAGACGAGAGAAGAAAAGGAGAGAGAGAGAGAGAGAAAGATGTCGCGAAGGCGTCACGTTTATGATTTCCTTGCGACTATCCCTCACCGAGCAGCATATAATTAATTCGTTATTTCGACCGCTTTATAATTCGACCGTCGCTTTCCTCTCCCGCGCGTAAACACTCGAGACGTGGAGGTGGTTTCGCGTGTACAAACAGTCGCGATTAAAAAAAAAATNCCAGTGAGCCGAACCCATTGATGGGGGTAAAAAAAAAAAATAAAAAAAAATAAAAAGGACAGTAAAAAAGAAAAAAGGAAATTAACTGCTCAAAGAAACCTTATATATATATATATCGCCAGGCCGGTCGATTAGGGTCCTGGCTCTATCGGAACAATTAGTCGGGTCAGGTCGATTCGACTCGATTTTTATGTCCCCATGAATATGCGATCGTCGCGTTCTGCCTTCCGGGTCGATTAACGAACGCGTAATAAGGCTCAAACAATCGGGACTGAAAATCCGCCGATCGATCGTCGACCACTCTCAACGTCGATTGGCGACGAGAGGTGGGTTTCACTCGACTGCTCCTCCTCCTCCTCCTCCCATGTCCTTCGAAAATGCCCGCCACGGTTAAACAATTACAATCGAGAGGAATAAAACCGCAAGGAAACGTTCGACCGCCGCTTTTTCGACCACCCGACCGGATTGGCCGCATCGAAAGCGGACCCTCTCGGTTGCGACACGGTGACTCCTTTTTTGTTTTCGCCGGTTCTTTTTTTATAAATCTCTCTCCCTCTCCTTCCCGCTCTCCCCCGTTGACGATCCGAAGCCTCAGGACCCGCCTATGATAGCTTGCGAAAGAGACTCTTGCGAAAGGCTTCTCGAGCCGAAGCATTAAAGAGGCGAAACGCGCGCGAGCGGTCGAGCTCCGCGACATTTCGAGAAAATGTCGAAAAAATCCCCTCCACACCCCCCCCCCCCCCGGCCTCGCAAATGGCTCTCTCTTTTCCTCTCTCCGATGGCCACGGAATCGGCGTTTCATCCCGTTGTCCAATAACCCCTCTCATCTCGCGTTAGTTAATTCACAAAGGCGGGCTCGCGCCCCTCTCCATCGAGACTCGATCAATTGTCTCGTGTGATCCCCGAGGTTAAGCAGCGCCTAGGGCGGTCGCCTCTGGGATGAGTGGTCGAAATAATTCCACCAAGCTTTTTATTTCTTCATTCCCCAAGGCATCAAGCCGCGCCTAATTTGTTATGTGAAATCCGTCTCGCAGATGAATCCCTTCATCCGGAGTCGCTCTCAGGTGGCAGTTGAGGCAGGTCAAGATCACCCATACATATCAGGGCCCCCCAGGGAAAATTGCATACAGCGAGTACAAATTTCAAAATGGACCGTGTAAGGACCCATCGCGCAACTCGCGTTAAAACGTCAATGCAACGGTGTAGATCTGAGAAACGGCAAATTAAATAGAGGGGAGACTCACACAAACGACGTCGAGTTTCGGTTAATTTAATTAGGAGGTGCTCTCGCCGGTGTGGTTAGACGGTAACCGCTGCGCGGGATGTCCGTAAAGGCCTTAACCCATGGATCCGCGGGTATCTACGGCACATAGGGCATAGGCATTCGTATACCTTAAGTGCTTCGCGAGGTGAAGAGTAAATGCCGCGTGCTCGCAGTGTACCGCGTCTTCGGTGTGCGAGCATAACGCGACACGCGTAAGCGCTTACGCTCGTGCAAAGGTAATTCCGTCGCGCGGTCCATTGACGCGTCTTGAGTCGGCCAGGAAAGTTCTAGAACGCGGAAAAAAAAAAAAAGTCGTCGTCTACCTTAAGTGAAAGGCAATGAACGGCGAGGCTGACCTATAGACACGACGGAGAGCACTCGGTCTCTACCTCGAGAGTCGATCCGGTAACCGGGCTCGGGTAACCGAGCACCCAGCGAGCGCTCCCGTTTCTGGGCGAAACGAGGGCCGAGATCGGAAACGGGGAACCTTGGCTCCACGAAACGACCAAGAGACCGCCAGTCCCCGAAAACGCACGGAATTTGGGTCATAAGGCAATAAATAAAAAAATAAAAAAATAGGAATAAAAGCGTGCCTCGCAGCAATTCCGAGGGTTAACCCACTAACGTTGGTCAAGAAGGGCCACTACAATGTCTAACTCCCGCGGGCATCCTTCGATACAGGAATAGAAATTCATGTAAAAAAAATAAGAGAAATCGCTAAGGGGAAGGCACCTTCGACTCGTGTCGCGTCATCGGGCTAACTCTGCGGTTTCCATCGGAATACGCATCTCCCCTCTGGACTGGTACCATTCGGCTCGCATTTACCTCCGGCTAAATTACAGGAGATTTCTTTAATAGGTCGAATTACGTCGAGGTCGCCTCGAAACCTCCCTAGCGACCCGTTTGCGGCGCCTCTCCGGGTCGACGAAATCCGGCGGGTAATTGGCCCGTAAAACTTGCGCAATCCCGAATCTCGTGCCCTCCGGTAGGAACGAGAGGGCAAAAAGAAGGAAAGGGGGGTTAAAGCGCTTGCGTAATTCCTCGGGGGATTACGTCAAACGAGAGTCGATCTGCACGTGGGATGTGACGAGCGGCGTTCACGAGTGCACCGAGGGGATCTCATCGAATCGCGCGATTGCGTTAAAAAAAAAAACAGACAGAAAAAAGAAATCGATTCCATCGCAACCGCCTCCTCCTCCCCCTCCACCCTTGGGGCATGTACGTTCCGCCCCAAGGGTGGAAAAAAAAAGGGAAAGAAATAGGATCCCGGTCTGACGATCGCTTTCAAGGTGCCAACCTTCCTCCTTCCGTCGAGAGAAGAAATCGCCGCCGAGGCGGTGGGGACTTGCGAGCCGGCTCTCGGTGAACGTTAAAAGTAGGTTGTCGACTCGCGTTGTAAAAAAAAAACTCCACGCACCCAGGGGGAGGGGGCCAATTGGTATGCACAGCTGAGAAGACCGGTGGATTACGAAACGTCACCTTGACCGCGTGGCCGGGTCAAATTGTCATTCGTTTCGGCGGGGAACCCTAATTGCTCGTTTTATTATTCCTTTCTTCGGACACCAGCGAGAAAAATCCACGAAAAAAAAAAAAAAAAAAAGAAGAAGAAATTTAGAATCTCATAGGACCTCGTTCGACTGATCGGACCAATTTCGCCATCGGCCTTGGATGGACCGATCTACGATCCCGTTCTAGGCAAGGAGATATCCCTTCTCTCGCGCGTTTTCTCCGCCGAAATGTCGAGAACTCCGAAACGACCGGCTCGGTCAGTTCGCGCCAAATCAGCTGGCGCCTCTCCTAATCGGCGATGCAAAATCCCGCAAAAGTGGGTCGCGCATTCGCCTAGGCTTGAACTTCGAAAGTAAGTCTATAACGGGTCGGATCTCTATTTCCTTTTTATCCCCTTCCTCCGCCTCTTTCTCTTTCGCACGAGGCCGGTCCATTGACATCGGCCTGCCCCGCGGCGGGCTCGACGGTGGGCCGAATCGCTCGTGTGCGTATTCGCCTAGATCCGATATACGTCCCGTTACTCCGGCGACCGAGTCACCCAGTGAGCCGAACCCATTGATGGGGGTAAAAAAAAAAAATAAAAAAAAATAAAAAGGACAGTAAAAAAGAAAAAAGGAAATTAACTGCTCAAAGAAACCTGCTGGTCCGGGTCAGTTGGTCAGTCGATCCGGCCGCGAAAAAAATACGTCCCCGCTGAACGGAAGTGGGTCGTCCATCCGAGACGTGAACTTCGAAAGTAAAGGTATAACGGGTCGCGACCGTTCTCGGATATTTTTTTTTCTTTTTTTTTCCTTGTCATTCGTTGATTTCCCCTACGGATCCCTCCGTGACATCAGCCGCGAGCGTCATTACCGTGAATTGAAATCGTCGAATTGCCGCGAGATAAGTCTCGTGATCTCGTCCAGGCAAAATCGAGCCATCTCTACCGAGTCGCTCGACAGATCGCGACACGGATTGAGGAGAGAAGAGGAGAAAAGGGGGTAGAAAAAAAAAAAAAAAAAGAAAAAGTAGGCGGAGAGATCGTCGCCCTGGAAATAACCGCGCGAAGGAATACGGGATCCATCGGCACCGAGAGCGGGGGGTTTAATAACCGGACAATAATCATGACCCCCACCTCGGAGCTTCCACGAAGTGCTCCGGCCGAATACAAAGGGGCAAACTATTTAACCGCGGCCATTGTGCGCGTTAAAATACTTTCGTTTGCAGAGAGCGAAGAGACAGGGGGAGCGAAAGAGAGAAGGAAAGAGGGGGAAAACAAAAAAAGAAGTGCACGATGCACGCGCGATAACGACGTAACGGCCAGGCGTAACGCACCGGTTCCGTCCGTTCCTTCCACGTTACTTCTCCCCCGTGGTCTTTCCACGCCGTACAAAAAAAAAAGAAAAAAAAAAAAGAAGAAATATCTAATTTTGACGTAAACCACGCGACGCGACGCGTAACCGCTCGATCACTGCTCTCCGACCCTCGAGAAGCACTCCCACGGAACTAGAATTTCCTAGAGAAAGTATTGCGCAACTTTTCCCGGGTGCAAGCCTAAGCGGGATCGACGCACCTTCTGCGTCGGCAAGGAGGCATGTAACCGAAGTCACCTGTTAATGTCGTGAAACCGTTTCCCCACGTGCGTTGGTATCAATATACGCGTAATATCCCGAGAGGGTACTCACCGGCGTAGGTGCTCTTGAAGCTCTCGTGTAGCTTGAAGGTGAACGGTATGTGGACTTTCATCATCTTCATCTGCGGGATCCTCGACGAGTGCGGGATTACTCCTCCGCCTCCGCCGAACATCAGGTCGTCCCCGTGAACACGGAGGACCATCATGTTCCTGTAACAGATCGATCGTCTTAAGTCATTTCAATTCCTCGCGGCGAGTTCACCGAGAGTGAAACTCGGAGTGCCTTAAAGGTAATCCGAAAAATTGACGCGGGGCGAAATTAATTGATTTCAATATTTTGTACTTCTTCGGTATGGAAGTTCACACCGAGATGAGCACCCGGATGACACGCAGAGGTTGTTACAAATTACCCTAAAGGTAGGGAGGCCTACCTCGTATCCCGGCAATACCCGCGAAATCCTTAGAAGACGACGTTCCTCGTGAGATCCCCACTTTCGTGCACAATGTCCAATGCGTACTACGCATTTATCGCCCGACGAGGTCTTATCGGGGCGACAACTGCGCGAGACGAAACACCCGAGACGCGGCTCCCGATAAGAGATTGCAACGGTCGAAAACAACCGCCGACTCCGCGATTGCCGGACGTGCATACGGTGAAGTTAATGAAAACTCCGAGGAGGCCGACAGAGAGCGAAATCCGATTCCGAGCGGATCGACGGTCGAAACTCGCGGAAATGAGGAGCGCGCATGCGCGGACGACGGCGTCCATCCTTCGTCCCGTAGTCCGTCGTCGGTCGACGGCGCAATTTGCGGAGAGAGTACCGGGGGAGGGGGGCAAGCAAGAAATAGAAGGAAGAACATCGTTAACGAAAGAATCCAACCAGCCCCGTAATACCAGCACGAAAGTATGGTTACGTAAAACCAGTAAACTTAGCGACGACTACTATACCGAGTAACGAGCCGTCCCGTTACTCGACGAGCCCTCGGTACACTCCTAGAAAGCATATCATCTCGGATCAAAGTCCCACCGAGCGCGTCGGGTGTCACACAGGAGGCGACGCGTCGAAAATAAAAATCCAATCCAAACAGCGGGGAGACCGTCCACCCAAGATCATGCGATATGTACCCCTCGCGAGCCCCTGCTAATCATTTTTTTTTTTTCTGGGCGACTTTACGCAACCCGAGGAGCGACTTCTCGATTCAGCGGTACGTGGGAGTACATTTATCGTAATCTGTCCAGAGGACCCCAACGGTCGTTCCCGCGAACCTTGTAAAAAAAAAAAAAAAAAAGAACCAGGCGTTAAACGTCGTTCCACCACCCTCGGCGCATCCTTATTTCACTGTCCCCGTCAATTTGTCCCTCCAGTAATTACCCTGGCCGGGGGCGGGCTTCGGTGGGAGCGACTTGAATTTCAGACTGCCACGGTTGCAGAGTGACGCGTCGCGGCAGGTCGACAAACTTAAGTAACTCGTAGTGCCTTGTAGGATGATTCACGGGTATTCTTTCCCCGTCTGGCCGGGACCGCGCGGCGCGGAGTGGATTTCTTTCTCGCGCAAATCCGCGCTTTTCATCCTCGACGATATCACCGCCGACTCGGGTTCCCTCGTCGCGCCGCTAACGGCCGGTTACCAGTTTAATTATAGGTGGTCGCGAGGCAGGTGCGCTCGGACGTTTGAAAAATCGCGTTTCCCTAGATGGCCTCCTCCCGGCAGTTTCGGGATAATTTTAACCCCTAGCGGATCGATGAGACCGCCCGTTATTAATAACGTGCCGCGGACCCGCGGCATGAATAATTAACGCGCCGGGTCTCATTCCCGGACAAAAAGAGGCGTCCGAAAGAGACGCCGCAGATGCATTGTACATCGGCAAAAAGCCGCGAGGAGAAAGAACGACGTATAAACGCGTACCGTCGACCGCGACGCCCGTCGAGGACACCTTCCCCTTCGGACGCACCCGGTGCACCGTCATAAACTACGGGGACGCGGCGCGGACCAGCTGACCGACGAAAGTGACAATGCCCGGCCATAAAGTGCTTTTCCTTCTTTTCCTTAGACTCCCGGTTAGAATTTTTCTTCTCCTTTCCCGTAGGTCACGTGCGCACCTCGGTCGGGACTTCGCCAGCATGAGTCCTTACCCGACCCGGTTATTCCTTGCTCATCGCTCGTCCGATCCCCGTCGCCGACAGCTCCGAGCTTTAAAGTACAAGTTTCATTTCCAGGGCACAAATGCCGCGACTTCCTTCCGCTCGCGGACATCACATTGATCGGACGCCGAACTTCGATCCCCCGAACGCGATCCCCAAAACGGGAAGCGGAAGCGGGGCTTTAAGAGCATAATCACCCGTTGCCCGGATCGCCGTTTGTCCGCACTCTAAGGAATTACACATTCCCTCCCTCTTCCCCCACTTCCACTTCCTTCCCAATTTTTCCTCTTTTTCGCCACCCGCGTTATTCGCAATTTCTCCCGACACTCCGTGCCGCGGGTTCGCTTTCACCCACCCGGCCGCGCTCTTTCTTCGACACTTTCCCGATTGTTTGGTCTCAACGAGATCAAGCTAGACCGCCCGTCGGAAATATCGGGGCAGCTTTTAATAATAAACTGGACGGTCCACCTGGTACGAGGAAACCCGACGCCTCCCTCTGAGCTAACAAAGTGCATCGCAAATAATTCCCTCGACGGTCGGAGTACTCGATACACTTTTTTCCAACTGTTGGTAAACAAACCCCGGGCATTGTTTAGACGTACGTCGAGTGCCTTGATTGTGTGCCGAGGCACTTACCCGTCTCTACGGTCATGACGTGAAAAAAAAAAAAAGAAGAAAAACACCGGGCCGATAGCCGCTCGCATATCAGAGATAAATATTTCCGAACATCCGATATGGAGTTGTGCTCCGTCGCTCGGCCCTAATCGTTGGCTAACTATTAGAACGAAAGTAGTCATAAACGATCCCCCCACTCCCGCCTCTATCGTTATAACATTATACGGCACAAAAGTCGGCGAAATCGCGGAATCCCCCTACGCCGCGAGCATGAATAATTCACCGTTGACTAAACCTTCCGGTCGGTGGGAACGTTCAAGGTCGGACGCTGAGACATTTGCTAATTAACACACAACAGGGAATCGGAACTGAGACGAGCGAGAACGAATCTGGCCACGTATAAGGAGAAGCGTCGAGAGCTGTTTTCGTATACGAATTCGCCGTCGACGCATTCGCAAGTCTCTCAAAATGAAATGCCAGTAGAAACGTAAACAATTTCCCCGACCTCCGTATTTCGCAAAGAGAATAGCTTAACACTTGGCAGTCCATCGTCGCGATCTAAGGACCTTAATTTCGCGGTGAAAACTAATCGAAAAGTTCGATATCAACACGTTCCGCGCCACGTGGGTCGCCGGCGAACCACGTGGAATTTTCGTTCTGGCCATTTAATTCCTCGGTAATGGTAAGAAGCAATACCATGAAATACTTTCCATGTATCATCTCTCGATATTAATCACGAAGCCTGAAAATGGGTCACCGGTGACCCGCTCGCGGCCTGGAAACCAGATCGCAAAAAAACTCGCCTGGCATGAAACGTGTTAATAAGAACTTTCATATAGACCCGCATTTAAGGCGAAAATAAAAAATTAGTGCTGCTAAGTGCGTCTTGTAGAATCGGTTTGCTCGAGCACGATACACGGTATGTCAAAATCAGTGGCCAAGGTTCACGTCGTACTAGCCTTGTTGAAGATAAAGACGGAAAGTACCATGTTTCTTCTACGGTGCATGGTTTACCCTATAATAATGAATTGAAAAATACCCTAACGAGCGCGTGGATTAGCGGAACGCAAATAGGAAGTTGTCTTAGACAGTAAAGCGGGGCCGATACGCATTTGGCTAATCGACGCGTCTGATTGGCTATTTTTCGATTAAATATTAGAAATAAATTAAACCCTGCAGAAAAAAAAAATTGTACAGGACCTTTCGACTCGGCTTTAAACAAGGATGGCAGGAGACGAATCGTGGCCAGAAAGTGATAATTCCGAAATTCGCTCGCGAATTCTCGATCGCCATGAGTCCGAAATTTGTCCTTCGAGACGCCGAGATTTCTCCTCCGGGTAAATGTCGAATCACCGTTAAAGATGTACATAAAGGAGATATACCGTAAACACGTGCGACACGCTTTCAGGCCGCGGCTAGGTTGTGTACGTCAACTGGACCGCGTTTATGCAAATGCGCCGAGTGCCGCGATTCTGCCCCTTCCAGAAAAGCCGAACATTTCGGAAATTCGCACGCAGCTGCTCGCTTTTTCTCGGTGAGGTTGACGATCACAATTGAACGTTTCCGTTAAACCTACCGCGCGAGTTTCCACCGGAATGGATAAATCTCTCTCGGTTTCTGGCACAGTAGTCCAAGCCATATATATGTGTATGCATAGAAATATATATATGTATGTATCTCTGGTCATTTATTTTCCTCCTGAAATCCGCATTCAAGAGCAGACCGGGGCTAGAAGTTCGCGTTCTCGCACAAAGCGTCGCGACCTAACCTCTCGGCGCTCCGAAAGCGCTTTTACCCTGTTAAAAATACCTCTTAAAAATATAGTATACACGTAGGCGAAGTATCAAAGCACCGTATTTCGAAATTTCATGTACATTTGCGTTCGAGATAGTAGCCTACGAGTATATCAATTTTGCGATGTGTGCGTTGCAACGGATCGACTAACATTGCCCCGATATCGTTCCTGCTGCCAACCTTGAACTTATCTCGAGGTTTTATGGAAAAGCGCATGCGCGTTCGGCGAAAAAGTACGCGCTGTTCGAACACGCCCGTAACCTCCACAAGTTCGCCTTAGTTACTCGCGGCCGCGATAAATCAGATAACATTGAATTTAAACGACGCTACCTATATACATATAGCCACGTTGAGCTGGAGCAATTTGAAGATACGAAAATATGCACGCGAGTCTCCTTAAATGTATATAATCACAATTCGAGCACAAACGTTTCCTCTAATCCTAATTATTGTACAGGATAAGAGTAGGACAAAAGTGCCAAGCTTTGACCTCCACCTCCATTGAGAACTTACCTCATGACGAAGAGGACGACGCCGCAGAAGCATATCAAGACGGCAAGGACGGAGAAAATGTTGGACAGCTCGGCCACGGACACTAGCATCGCCGTCATCGTTTCCACGGTGGTCCGCGACACGAGCGAGCGTCACGCGCCGTCGAGTTCGCCCGTAGTCTCGGGTCCCGGCGCGACGCGGCCGAGGGGAACGCGCACTTCCGCCGCCGGTTCCTCGGCACCGGGACTCGGGGCCCTCGCCAATAGTCCTCTCGGCGGTACGCGAAAAGTAGGGTTAAGTCGGCGCGGGACCACCCGCCGAAACTTCCTCCGCGCGGCGCCCCTTCACGCGGCGGACTGGCGGTCCGGTCTTCGCGCGACCTAACCTAACCCCCTCTCGCGGACGGCACTCTGGCGCACGTCCGCCGCGACCCTCCCCCCTCCCTCGATCCTCGGGGAGTCCGCGCGACGAAGACGGAGCCTTTGTTATTCCTTATCTCGTACAGAGGGAGAGAGCGCAAAGAGGGTTAATTTGCCTCCGCGCTCTTCTCGGAGTTATTCGCCAAATAGGTAGGAGGGGGTTAATCCCGCTGCTCCAAAGTTGACTCTCTCCTTCTCGGAAGGGAGTTGACCTCGTTGTTTTCAAACGGCGAGATGTGACCTCCGCGAACGCCCGCTGCCCTCTATTTAATTTGCGATTCGCTTTGTCTCCCGGCTCAAGGGGAAGGGACAAAGATTGTTCCCAGAGGTGCCGCTCTTGTTCCTCCCGTAACGGGGGGGGGGGGATTATTATGAAGATAACGATGAGATTCTTTCTCCAGTAGAACGCTTCGCTTCGCACCTTCTTGTTTACTTCCTCGAGATTGCTTTATCGGTGGATCTCGAATGAATCCCCGTTATTTTCCCACGTGGCAGCGTCGACTCCAATTTCCTCTTTCTCTCTCTCTCTCTCTCTCTCTCTCTCTCTCTCTTTCCACCTCGATTCTCCCTCCGAGGGTTATTCCCTTTCGGCTTCGGTTCGAGGACCTCACCCTCGTTACTCTCCCCGCCACTTGCGACTCGCTCCTCTTGACACGGCCTAATCCTCTCGAGAGTATCCTCTTCTCATCACGAGCGGGAGGTCTCCCTTTCTTGTATTTTCCTGTCTCCTTTCAAAACAAATCCCCTCCCCCTCTTCGTCGCCTGGATATAGAGGGCGCCACGTCCTTCCTAACCTCAAAGTCTCTCGACCGACGGGCACCGCTGGCGAGTCTCTTGTGGAGGCACGTAGTGTCTGCGGCAGATTCCTAGATGCACCACGGCGAGCCCTCGTGGGGCCGATCGGTTTTAGGTTATGTCGTTCCACGGGCGCGATAAGGTACCCCTCCTTGGTCGATGCGTCCCTAGCGTCGCGAAACCGACGGAGTGCCGCCGCGGCCGAGCCGACTCGCTTACGCAACGGGCCTCTCGGTACCTGCCAACGCCGCGGACTGCGCGCCGTAGAGACATTCGACGCCGCCGCGGGACCGGCTGCGAGGCTGCGCCAAGGAGCACGGAGTCGGCTTCGGAGCGGTTACGCGATGCCGCTGCTTACGCGAGGTTATGCAAAGTCGGGTTAGGCTGTGGGAGGTTACGTGAGGCGATTTCAGTCCCTGCGGAAGCCTACTGGACGTTCGCAGATCCTTGTTTCGTCGCCCACCGGTCGACGGGGGGGGTTAGGTGATCGGACGAACGGTGGGATTACTCGATCGCCGTAGGAAAAAAATGGCGCACCATTTTCGAGCGATACCGCGAGATCGGATAATCGCGTCCTCTACATCCTTCGCGGTACCCTCTGCTCGTCCTTGCTCAGATTTTCGGAAAGGGAATCCCGATCCGGCGTTCCTCTTGGCGGGAGACTTCACTCGGCGTTCTCTTTTCCACGTCCGCGTGGTCTCGTTTTGACATCCCTGCTCGCAGGTGGAGAACCTCCCGCGCGCGCGCACGCCTCACGACGGCTCGACTCGCGGCCGCTTAGTGCGGATTCGGGGGAGGGGCACTGCCGGCCCACGGTTCGCCGCGGCGGCGCGGCTCTCGCTGCGCGTAGCCGGCTGCGCGCTGTCACCAGCGCCGGTCACTCCCAGCGTGGCGCTCGACGATGTTACGTCACGTGACCTAATCTAGACTCCGGATAGGGGCCTGGTCACAGACACAGAGATTTAACCGGACGGTGGAGCGTCTCGTCGATTAACGATCCCGGGACTGCGGAGCCGAGAGCTTACGACCCTTCGGCCTGTAGCTGTGTTCACATCGGTGCGCGCGCACACCCACTGCGCCCCGAACGTACGTCTCGAGGCACTGTCCCGCTGGGTACTGCGGGGGCGACTTATACGCGAGTCCAGACCTCGAGTTCTTTTTCTCTCTTTTTTCTCGCGAGCTCGACGCGCCGTACGAGACGCTGACGGAGTGGTGGGGCTGGACGGCGGCCGCGTGGGATCGACGAGGGGAGGGATAAGGACGGAAAGAGTCGACGGAGGGAGAGCGGTGAGGCGACGACAGGGGGGAGCGAGAAAGAGGGAGCTGCACCGCGAAAGGACGGAGGAACCGGCCGCTGCCGGCTGCGCGCGCATCGGATTGTGGAGGTTAGGTTAGACGCTGCGGAAAACAAGAGCAAAGCTGCGGAGTGTTTGGTCTCCGAGCATCTTGGTTAGGTCGATAAAGGATCGACGGTCCTTCGTTATGTCGTCGGTGTATTCCATCGCAATGCTTGGTTACAGGTTATTTAGGCGACGGGAGACGCGGAATGGACTGTCTCTCAGGCCTTCGAGAATGGGTTGGAAAGATGGAACAATGTTTCGATACTTTCGGGAGATATTGTCCGTGGCACTTTCATCGGGAATCCACGCATGTGTTGGACTCGGGGAATGCGAGATCAGGGCCAGGGCACTTGCTTGGTAGAGAATATATGCTCTGGGGCAAGGTGCGACCACTTTAAGTGACATAAGATCGGTTTAAAGAAACGTAGGTTGTTTGACGGGCCGACTGTCATGGCCACTTTGAGTTCGATCAGCTGACCATGGGAAACGCGTGGCGCCATCTCTCGTGTTTCCATGGATCCGCGGCAGCAAGAATATTCGCGTGTCGGAGACCGGTGGAAATTTTATTTTCCTATAGAAATCGAAAAGCAGAGACACGCCGCGTATTTAGACCTTTTAAGAGTGTGCGGAAAATAGACTGGTGAATTCGGAAGGGAAATGTCGAAACTTATTCGCGTTGACTTTGAAGTTTTCGGGACGGTGCAGGGTGAGTAAAAAAGCATTTGGCTTGCAAATATTCTGACAGGGTATATATGATAAATCTTAATAATGGCTTTTTTTCCTTTCAGGAGTATTCTTCAGAAAGGTTAGTCGAAAAATGCTAGATAATTGATCAGGTTAACCTCCGCTAGCTAATCAGGAATAACTTTTGGTAATGTAAAGCCCCAGGTAGCAGCACTGCTCGCATTCGTGTCGGTAACAGCAATCTCGCTGGTATCGGGACTCGATAATTCAGGAACCATTTACTTATTTCAAATAATGTACTTCAATGTGACAGATGCAATGAAAATATTCTAATTTCTAATGTAAATTTATTTTCTTTAAATACATTACAGAACACACAAAAACGAGGAGAAGAACTGGGCCTAAAAGGATGGTGCATGAATACCAAGAATGGAACGGTCGTTGGCAGACTGGAAGGCGAGAAAAGTAAAATAGAAGAAATGTAAGAGTTACTTATATTAGCAATACACGGGTTATTATGCCAGAACATTATTAGGTGCACAGTGATACGTATTTCTTTTAGGAAACACTGGCTAAGCAAAGTAGGAAGTAAAAATTCTGTCATCGACAAGGCTGAATTTCGAAACGAGCAGGAAATCAACGTACCTTCCTTTACAGGCTTCAGTATTAAACATTAGACACGCCATTGCATAACTTTTCATTAAATGATTGCTAAAGACTACTTTCCTCTGTAGTTTAAGGTATAACATTGATTCCAAAGAATAAAGCACACGTCTAAGACGGTATGATTTTTCAAACTCATATTTTCAAACTACTATTTCCCCTGTTAATTTTATTTAACACTTATTGCAAAAGTAAAGCAGTGTTCATATATTTCTTATTAATTTAAGAATCATAGGAGGATGTATTAAAGTACTCAGGTGGTGAAAGTCCCGAAAAGAAGTGGGCCGAAGAAAAAGCATGAACTCGCGTAAGTGCGGCTTCTACGTGTACGCACCTCCACTCTTTTCCTTGCACTGTCAAGTACTGAGTCCCGAGCGGTCTTACCTCATACCTTGGTGAGCGCTCGCGCCGTGCGGTTCGCTCCTTTCGCTCCAAAAAATTGTTACTCGTGAAAATGGATAAACCAAACTCTTAAAATAGAAAACATACAACTGTAAAGCCCTCAAGAGATTAATATAATTCAAATTTTCTAACACTCGTCGTGACGGACAATAGAAGTAAATGTGTAATGAAGAGCAAAGTGCGCGCTTTGATACTGACAATCGCACATATAATTACAAAGTAAATCAGGAAGTGGCAAGGTATTTCATTAGCCGGTATTCGTTGCCGTTTCACTGCCTTCAACGGCACACGAGAGCCGAGTGAATTATGAACTGAAAACAGGCACTGCGTTTTCGATTTAATCTCAGAACAATGTTACCGATAAGGAAATTACGAAAAAATGGTAATGATCTGAATGGAAAAATCCCAGCCTGAAGGATATCCCATCGACTGAATATAGTGCATCAGGAATATTTACCACAAAATCGAGATCATGCCGTTCAGTCTCAAGTGCTGTAAAAGCTTCTTCAAGCACACGTGGCATCCTCAACAGGTGAGTGAGCTTAAAAGGGTAACAGAATGTCTTTCGGAGAAGACCCCGCGACAGAAAATGTTATTATAACAGGTACGACTCGGGATGCGAGCTTGGATTTCTTCGAGGCAGGAAAAAATTATTTACCTTGAACTACCCTGAAAGTGAGAGGACGGAATCTCGGTGCTGGTATCGGTGTGCTCAGTGATCGTATATACGATGCCAGCATCGTATATACGATCTTCTTGGATGCTTATTAACATGGAAGTAAATGTCAGAAAAGAACTCGTAGAGGGGAGGCGCTAAAATGAATATCTATTACAAATTTGACGACTAATCGAGAATTGAATGCCGCTCCAAATGGTATCGACTCGCGGTATAAATACTGCATTGGCCGTAGAAACAATGACGAAGAGTGATTTAATATGCAGAAGTCAGCAATTACGTATCCGTGCAGTCGACCGTATATTTTGCGTGAGCAACGTGTGGACACGTAACTTCAATATCACGTTAAATATTAATAATTATACCTCCTACCCACCTCTGCCGTTCGACCGGCGTCGAGTATTTTCACGATTTGAATTTCTGCCAAGACATAGCCGTAACTTTTATCTTTATCATTTCGGTCGTTTCGAACGTCACGACTGGCAAACACAAATAACAAACCCATGCAAATCACCCGCCCGTTTTATATTGCTGTAATATTGCATATTCTTGACATGCCTGAGGATAATGTCTGCAACTCGTTTTCCGGGATGAACGGTTCAGAGTTACCGTTGCATAACTTGGAGGCGATTGCAAGCCATTACAACCGTAAAAAACTAGGCTCATCCGTCATTATCGGGGTTCGTATCGCATTACCGGCGGGAAATTCATAGTCGAGCAGCGTAACGCGACACCGAGTGACATGTATTACAAATGAGATAATACTAACGAATAACATGTAAAATTAATGCGGTTAAAAAAAAAGGGGAGCCACTATGATAAGACCGGGGAGAATTCAGACGTGGACATACTCGTCCGTCGAAAACAGGAAATCCAAAACCTTGCGGTTTCGATCCTGCCAACCGGAAGCCTGATTAACTTCTTGGCATGCTCTCTTCCTGGAGATAAAAGTTAAATATTATTCACGATGTGTGCAAATCGAAAGCCAGACATTGACTCATCTGATTATCAACGCACCGTTAATTTTGCGACAAGAAAAGGTGCTAGGTGTTTGGAATGACATGTCGTGCTTCGTTGTGCAGTTTTTTGTAATCTCTTTTCTGAGGCTCGTGTGCAGATGCAACGGAGGTGCAAATCTCTCATGGTACGTCCTCGTACGTCCCGTGCACAATTCTTTCGTATCTCCGGTGTGGAAGTTTGCTCATCTTGGGTGTCTTCGTCCACATTCTTCGTGGTGCTGCAGGCAAGAAAAAGGGAACTTTCTCCTTTCTATCTATGACGCAAACCGTGCCCGATTTAACGCTGCACGGAGTACAAATCGCACGTGGCAAATTGTACGGAGACAAGTAATCGCGTTCTTTTCAGACCGTGCAGAATGCAGCATCATTTCCCCACCTCGTCGCTTCCCTCTTGACACATCAATGACATCGTGGACGGACGGTTGTCATTTATTACAAAATCAGTCGACACCACGAGTAGCCCTTCGCAAAATTCGACATGGGTCATTTTTCGAATTTTCACGCGTCATTTATACCATTCATCCGCAATGTTCCAAATGTCATTCGCGATGACAGTCTGCTCGCCTATCGTGCCGATTCCTTGATCCCTTTTTATAGGAGCACGTCCTAAAATTGATACATGACATTCGGGTCCAATTAACTTCACTTCTATCAATTTTGAGGATTTACATGACTCCTGCCAAATGACAGCCTGAGAAGGACCCCCTGACAATCGCCGTCAACCGAATGAGCCTCACGAAGCTGCGCAAGGTATCTCCCGTAAATTTGATTAATAAAATGGTTAATTGCACTAGGGTTTCCTTAATATAATCGAAGGTGAGGAAGAGTCGCGTATGAGAGAAACGAGTCGCTGTCCACGTTGAGCCACGTGGTTTTTATTGACGCCTTAACCGGTCGGATTACAATTGATTATCCTGAAAATGTGCATAATTAAAAAAAAAAATCATACATGCACGTCCTGGGAGAAAACGTTAGATAATGGGGAGATCAGGGGTCAGTATAGATAAAGACTGATAAAGAGGCGCCCTGTTCGTTAACTGGCTAGTTCCTCAGTTAGTCGCCGAGTATTATTCTCCGGCTCCCCGTCGCTGACGGGCTCGTTCTGGTACAGTCAATGTGCTCCATCGATACTCGTCACTCGACACTCGATAAACTGCTTGCCGAGAAGAGACGAAAAGAAATTCAATACCTCGTTTCGTTCGGTGCGAATAAATTCTGCGCTCGCAGAAGGTGAAATTATTCAAGTCGCACTTTTGGAAAGAGTTAACGTCGGTGCCTGTTGGATTTTCCTTCCACTGTCCTCGTTACCGGCACTGCGGTGTTCGAGTCATTCGGGCCAATGATCAGTGACAAGAAGAGGAAGTTACGAATAATATAAGGAGAGAAAGTGAACCCGGGGACGGATGTTGGAAGTTGCGGCGATGATGTGCCGGGAGAAAAACCCGGGAAGAACTTAGGCGAGTCGAGAGGGCTTTAAATGCCAAGGCGATTAGGATGAATGTCGATGCCAACCGTAGGATCTACAATGGACCCCGATTCAAAGTAGGTTGTCTAGAAAAAAAAAAAAAAAAGAAATCGTCTTCGCGGAAAATCGAACGACTTCGACGAAAATCGGGGTGAGATCAGCTGGTCGACTTCTTCCTCCTTTCTTTCCTTCGATAGTATTGCCAGTGGTAGTACTTCGGCTGAGGGAAAGTATGCCGATGCTTAGCGCCATGCCAATGATAAATTCGGTCCCGCTCCGATTACAGTAAATTTAAATTACATGAAGAATACCTTTCTAATCTGTCGTGAGCGGTGAAGAGATCAGAGAGGTTCTGTAAAACGATTTCGTTATCGTGTCGCTCGGTATCGAATTTTCTTTTGTACGTATCGACGTTGTATGGTGCCCTGTAAGAAGGACGAGGTGAGGCTGTAGAAAGTGAGTGGATGCTGTGTCGAGAAAAAGTACATGAGCATATGGGTCTCACTTGCACGGCAATCGCAATGACCGTTGATACGAGTACGTCGAATCGCTGTGCTTGGAAATCATGGAGACTATTTATTCGCAAGTTGTAACAATAAGTCTCCCCAATCCCCCCCACATTTCCCAGCTAATTAGACTACAATGTTGCTTCTTTACACATCGCTTAACCCGGCTAATTAGGTTGACTTAATTTACGAGATTTCACGACAGAATTATCGCAGCATGCTTACTGATGCAGCTTATGTGATAATTTATTAATAACGTCCCGACAAAAGGCAAATGTCTGCGGTATAATTACAAAAGAAGAATCTCTCAATAGCTCAGAATAAATGGAAATCGCATTCATCGTGATCTTCCTTACGATTTCTGTCTCCTTCTTTTCTCTCTCGCTTCGGGTGAAATTTCTCATAAATTGTCCCTCACGAGATTCTCCTTTAAGAGATTTCATAAATTAAGTAAGAGTCTCGGTTAATCGGGTTTCAAAAATAGATGGTGGTGGTGCCGTGCCCCGGTTCTATGTGGGATTTCCCATACCTGGACCAAGTAATCTGCATCATGGATTCTGTCTACGAATTGGGACCAGAGCCCAAGAAAGACATCTTCCCCGGCAAGAGTCGGATCCCAGTGCACGTAATTTATTATTAGAAGTTACTCTAACTTGAGTTATTTCACGTGAATTACCCTCACGTTGCGCTGTGATTGCGTTGTGATTAAATCATAGCCGAAATTCCTTTCCCATCGTTTCTCGCATCGAAGACCCCATGTTCTCATCTCATATTATTTTCCAGCGACGATTAATTGGAATACCCTTATTTTAAAGATGTTCCAAAATAGAGAGTGTCTTAAAATCCAAGGTGAGATTTCGAATTTCTTTCCAGATCGATGGCCCGGCGACATTCGAGCCCAGGAAAAGTGGCTCTCGAGGTGCCAGCATCGGCACCGGAGCTGGGGAAACCGAGTTGGGGATGATAAAGGTGGTCGCCCCGACGTCCAGCGTCGCGACGTCAACCCCTTTGCCGGCTGGCGGCATCCCTTGCAGAAATGGAGGTTGCAAAGCCTCGAGAAGTCGAGGTGAACCACGGCCGGAAAGTCCCTGGCACCTCCTCAAGACCATCTTCCTCGTCTCCGTGATAGTAGCCCTTATCGTTTGGGTCATTGTCTACACCCTGCTGGCGCAATATCAGATCCTCTGAAATGTTTAATAAACATTATCAATGATGATCAATGTCAAGGGGGCATGACTTCATTTTCCGCGGCCATCTCGGGCCGTTCTACAATAATATCTAATATCCCGGATATAACGACGTTTGCATCCGACATTTGTGTAAATAACTTGACATTTTAATGGCAGGGGGGAGAGGGTGTAATTAACCGAGGGGACATGTTAAAATCGTGTGATATTTAACAGTACATCGTCACGGGCGTATAATCGCTCCGAGTGCCAATTCACAAAAATGTTCGCATGAGTAATTGTACATATTTTTATATCATCACTTTCTCTGCAATCGACGAGCAATTGGCGATTGGGATTGAATAAAAAGATGCAGAAGTATGAGACTCTTTTGAGATCTGCCCAACTTTTGTCCCAGTTCTCGGACAAAAAGAAGATATCATTTTCGATGACAATGTCCGTTTCGTAATCTCGCAATCTAAATAGTTGGTGGAGGAATTAATGTTTCCGCGAATTAAGCGTGAAGTTAGCCATGGGCTGTTTTATCGAGGAAAAGTGACATTCTGCGAAGAAGAGCTGAAATTTTCAACCTAGCCGATACATGCGACAGGATGGAAAAAGGATCCTTTTTTGCGCTTGTAAAATTGTGCAATAGAGGTAAACCACAAGTATGAATATGCAGAAGAATCAGGGACTGGGCGTCCCTCGTGAAAAGGAATATTTATTGATAACGTAATCTCTTGATTTTGCAGTGTATGCGCTCCTACAGTTTGGAGAAAACAATTCGCCAGGATTCCATAAATCCTGAACGGATCGGGACTGATATTTAGTCCGCGACGACTGTTTAGTAGCAGCCAACAAGAGTTTTAAGGTAAGACTGCTTTCTTCCGATTTCTATACCCAAAGAAACGCTCGTTTGTCGGCCAGAATCTTGTGCAACAGCGGGAATTCGTTGGCACCGAGGAAAACGTCTAGGAAAATTCTGCAACCGCATTTTACGACTAACGAGGCAAATCCCGAGCAAATTCTCAGCTAAATCTGCGGTCGCATTCATATTCCACTGTTATTAATAGAAATATTAAGTGGTAAAAAGTGGGTTTCCTGAGCCCTGACAAGGAAGAAAAAGGTCCCCCGTAAAAGTAATTCTGTTCTTATGCGCCAGTCTCGTTCCTTCAAATAGCAGTAACTTAGTATAAATTGTCGGTAAAAAGAGCGCAAGCCACAAACGTTTAAAGGAAACGACACAACAAAAACTACTAACAATTCGTGCTCGGTTATGATCCCAACTGTAGCTAATCTTTTTCTCTTTCAGTGACTACACTTCGGAATCTATATGCTGTATGAATCGACCGAGCTTTACGCTCAACTCGAGGGAAAACTCAAAGACGAAAAGTACCCGATCGAGATTCTGGGAGGGAGTTCCCTGGCCAATCATTCCATTCTTTCGAAGGCAGAATTCCCGGACGTCAAGGTATTTGGAAGGGTAAGGCTCAGGTGATGTAAACAATGATTCCGGTCTTAAATTTGAATCCAGTAGCTTCGCAACGTAACTCGTGGTACTTATTTTATTGTAGGGGGAGGCGTGGAAAGTGGCGGAAAATTCCCGCTCCCTTTTCGGAAAAACGACGACATTTCGGACCCGCAACCTGGACCATCCACGGAAATCAGCGCTAAGCAATTCGCCGGACTCGTGGCCGGTAAATCAAGCAAGAAAACCGAAGACAAGGCGATTCAAATGCGACAAAATCCAAGCTCTCAAAAATTGGCTGACGACGACTTCAATGAAGAAGTACAATTACCCCTTCATTTGTCCATATATGCACGTACAAATTTACGACGGTAGTATCTATGAATATTAAAAAATCTTTCCTCTTCATTTCAGTCCTCCGTTGGTGAAGAATTGCGGGTAATTCAGAGGCAGATCCTGGTAGGATGGGACACTCTTAGATCCAGGATTATGCTCGGTTTGCTGGTCCTCTTCGTCTTCTGGCTGGCGATATACTTTCCTCTGACCGTGGGACAACCTTTATACACCAAAGGAAAAGGACGGAATAAAGAATATGCCTAATCGTATGCATCAGTTTATACTAAGCCTAGAGGGATGGAGAATCAGATCTCGGATCAGATCGGCAGTTCTTACATAATACCATAGAAACGAAGGATCTGCACTCGGGAGATACGTGCGAAGCTTGTTATGCAATGTACGTCAAGATGAGGAAAATCAGAAATCGTCGAGGTGATTTTCCTTCTAGACGAGACGCCATGTTTTCATCCGGTTAGACAGCCTCGAAGAATTCTATTTATGTTCCTTGAAAATGCAGAATAACTGCATTTGTCGGGGAGTTTTTCTTTGCTTAGTTACGAATGTATGTGTGAATTAGTTTTCTCTTATCTGGAGATGCTCGGATTAATTTCTGTTTTGCATGGATGACCCAACGTACGTTCCTGTGCGTCCCTGTGTTTACGAGTCGGATTGCAGCGTGTAACTGTATTTATCTGAGGAGTAAACTTAACTTGAGGTCGATCCATGTCGAATGAAATTCGATGTGGCTTCTTGGCAGAACACTGTGGCCAATGGCAATGGTAAAAACTGAAATGAATTTTCCTCCGACGCCAATATGGCCGCAAATGACCCATTTCTCGCTAATTTCATATAGATTAAATTAATTGTTAAACAGTCTCATCCTGTGCCTACACCGATGACTATTAATGTAAATAGTTATTTAATCATAAGTTGAAGAACATTCAAGTACCATGATTATAAGGGTTTTCATATTTGGAGTTATTTAAGAAATCATGTTGCCCGTTATAAAGTTGCGACGATGGACTAATTGTATATGTGCGCCCACCTGTAAATAATAAGTTACATGAATTTAAAGTAAATCAATAAATCTCTGAAGAGTGATCCGATACAAAATCGTTTATTATCAAACAAGCTATCAAGATTCCCGCGTGAATTAATTATAATAAAAAAATCTCATTGTCTAGAACTGATATTCCGAATATAAAATTCATTTCCGGCGCGTCCCAAAGTGCTTTTATTGTTAAACAATGGTAGTGCAAGGATTTCACACCGAGCGGAGGCCTTGTATGTACAGCTGTATCGGAGGAATCCAATTGAGTAGAGCCTTGAATACAAGGCAGCCAATGAGAAACGAGCCTCAGGGGAAAGTAAAACGGCTTTTAGGTCTTAAGACGAACGGCGAGACCAGTTTATCGTAAGACTCATACGAGAACGCAACATTTCTACGCTGAACTAGTTATCGCTTCGAGTCAAAGAAATATCAGCCATGAAGTTAAGGACAACCCTCTTTCTTTTCTTGCTGGTATCACTATTACTGATTGGTAAGTGGCGGAAGGAAATTACGAAAATCACATTTTAACCGATAACGACAAACCGCCAACTAATGACACGCCGTAAATAACGGGAAAATAACCCTCAGGTTACACGTACTCGCTTACAAAGTACATAGAAATTGCATCCTATTTTTCTCAGCAATAAGACGTTCTTGCGCGTACGAAGGCTATTTAAAATCCCTTAAATCCGTTCTAAGTGCCCACTTCCGGTATTTATTTCACACCCACCGGACCATTTGCATGTCTAATGCGACACCGCGTGAAGAGCACGATTTAAAACTATAATCACCGATGACCTAAGTCAGCGAACCTCTGAGTCAAATGAAAACAATCGCTGACATCGATTCATCAGTGATGTTTTTTGCGCTTCATTGAAATTGTTCGCAAATTTCGTGATGTTAAAGGCGTTCCATTAATTTTCAGAGAAATTGCAGGACAGTGAAAAGCGTGCATTGAGCTCAAACCCAATCTGCTGGGGTAGAATGTATTCTTCTGTACACGATTCTAGAACGCAGCAACAAGGAAAACGAGTAGCATGCGTGATCTTTGAACCAATACGCGTATATATTTTTTTTTCCTCCCAAAAAGGTTATCGTTGGCGCACATAACTGACGAATAATACGTGCGACGGAATCGCCGTTTCCTTCTCGAAGTGTTACCGAAGCTTCAATAAGTATCATTTAATCGAATCACTGCCCAAAAGCCATGAAATTAATTTCGAATGCAATATCTCCGCGGCAAAATGGCGGCGTATCGGCGTCTCGAAAGTCGAGGTCGAGGTCGAAATCGGAGAGGTCGTTGTTGCTAAAGACATGACTCACGGCTCTATGCCAAGGATACGCATAGGAAATTTTTGCACACAAAAAAACGAGTAATACATCAAAGCTTCAAGAGGCCCGAATATAAACCTTTCTGAGAAGTACATAAATTCCTAACTGAATAGGATTGGAAAGTTTCCTGACGCCGGCTGAGTAATTATGTAAGATAATAGTAAGCATTGAGTACTTTCCCGGACGTGCATCATCAATATTCGCATATTTCTTATTATTTATGATATAGTTTCCCCCTCTATTGTCCCGATGGAAAAATCCGTCTCGCATGGAGCCCACTTTTGAGACTACATAAATATTAATAAGAAAGTACGTGCGTGCCAAAGTAAGAGCAAGGAACTGTTGAAATCACGAATTCTTCAGGCCTCCTTCCGATCTCTTTGTTTAACAATTGCAAATAAATTTCGACTTTAGAATTCCAGGAGGAGCCAGTGTCACACCTAAAAATAGATGGAGGCTACCTCTGTCAGTCACAAAATATAGTTAAAAGTACTTACAGATCATGGCAGTTCATAATTGCCTCATCCCCATGTAAAATATAATCTGGCAACGGATAACTACTCTGACCCCAATTCGAGTATATTAAATTAATCGAGCTCCACGTTCACCAACGTTATTATGCGATATCTCTCGCTTTTTGTCAGAAAACTGTGAACTCTGCCACGGACGGGTGGGAATCCTTGACCTCTGTTACAAAACTCCACTCAAAAGTGGGGCAGTTTCGTTGAATAAGAAATTCAAGCTGAATGAGCGATTTCGAAACTTCAAATTTATGATTCTTCTACAGAGGATGCTGAAGCGGGTTGGAAATTCTGGAAGAAAAAGAAAGACGAGGAAACTACCACGACAACCACGACGACCACAACAACGACCACGACGGTTGCTCCGGTAGCTTTAAAAACAACTCCTGCTCCGCCTCCAAGAGGATCGGCGGTCAACGTTAATAAAGCTTTAGCAGGAGCAGCAGATCCTGGCCTGGTAATTGGAGCTGGAACGGTCGGCTCCAACGCCAGGACTCCTCAGAATCGCAAACCGAATCCAGGAACTGAGGTGGGGCTTGAATTTCCTGGTTCAAAACCGGCAAAGCCTGGAACTGGAGGGGCCAATGGTCAAGGTTACAGGGACTGGGCAGCAGGACTAACCGGTGCTGGCGATCCTGCGAGGCAGCCTCCAAAACTTCCGGCTCAGGGCCCTGCATTCACTCCCGGAAGTCCTCAGGCACCTTCTCCAGGTACATTATCTTGCTCCCTTGGAATTTCAAGACGACTTTCCTTTTAAATTTCATTATTAATAAATATTTCTTGTAGGTCCTGGCAGGCCTGCATCTCCCGCCATTGGAGTCCAGCCTAATGCCGGAAATCGCAGCCCTCCACCTTTAGGACCGCGGCCGGAATCTCCAACTGGAGGTGCCCCAGGCCAACAAGGACAGAGGCCTCCAGGATCGCCCGTTTCGGGACCACCGTCACCTGTCTCCGGACCACCATCACCTCTGCCAGGACCTCAACAGGGTCCAGGCAATGCTCCCAACCAGGGCAGGCCCCAACCCGGAAGTCCTCAGCAAGGGACGAGACCAGATTTTCCTAATCTTCCCTCGGGAACCACTGGGCAAAACATAGCAGGAGCACCAGGAGTTGCTCCAGGAAATGCTTTTCCGGCTGGAGGGAAAAGTTGGGCCGAGGTAGCCTCCGGTGATAGCAGACCAGGGTCACCTACTCCTTCGCCAAGAGGTGGTCCCCAACCAGCTATTGGAGTTTCGGGTGGCCAAAACAGACCTGCATCCCAACCTAGTCAACCAGGATCCCCTAGCTTAGGCATGTGTATTTCAACTTTCGATTAAACGTTAACATTACCTGTGAATTTAATTGTAATAGATTTTGTTTCTAATAGGTCAGCCGCAAAGGGGACAACCCACCACAGCAAAACCAGTAATAGGTCCAGCAACAGGTCTAGCTGCTGGAGCTGCAGCAGGAGCCGTTGCCGGGGCCGTTGCTGGATCCACAGGAGGCAAGGTATACTCTAGCAACCCGACTTACAGCAAGGGCAACACCGTCACCGATGAAGACTTGGAGAAACTCTCTGAATCACTGTTCATCAAGGACGTCAACAACGCCAAAAAGCACATCACGGTTAACCTGCAGAAACAGACCACCGGCAACAGTCCCACCGACGAAGCTCCATTGCCGTGAGTATTCTGCCCCTTTCAATTAATTTCTGCAGGTATACTCTTAACTCTTTTCTGTTCTGAACCTGAAAAATTAATATTGGCATATAAAGAGATGTAGACAAAATTGCGCCTTGCACGCAGATTGCTGGACGTGAAGCCAGAGGCTCTGCAGAGTCCCACGATACAGAGTGTACTCGCGATTTACGACAATTACCAGCTCGACTCCCGTGTCAATGAGTACATCAGTCCAGCACAGCGACAGGAGGAGAGTCACCTGGTTGACACCTTTTTAAGCACCAACGTCATGTCCGCTGCGATGAGGTTCCTCGCCGACAAGGGATTCATTCGTAAGGACTATTACGAGTACAAGGATACCTTGAGGAGAATGTGGTTTAACCTGTTCTCCAGAGGAGAGGGGAAAATCGGGAGCTCAGGGTTCGAGCATGTTTTCATGAGCGAATTGAAACTCGGCACCGAAGTCTCCGGACTCCATAACTGGATATACTTCAACGCCGAGGAAGTAAAGAAGAGGGCCGACTACCTTGGATACGTAAAGAAGGTCGACCTGGGCGACGTGAGTTGTTTTTCGTTAGAATATATTCGTTTTAATTGAAGAGACCTCCTTCCTCCTCCTTTAAATCTTGTCTCCGTTTTTCCATTTTTCAGAAAGCCTCGATAGTAAAGCTGCATGCGAAGTTCAATGGGATCGACAAGCCGGTCACGTCGATGTTCATCGGAACTTCTCCCGAACTTGAAATGTCCCTTTACACCGTATGTTTCTTCGTAAGGCAGGACAAGGCTTGCCCAGTTTCCCTGGGGGGAACTAAATTTAACATCATGACACATAAGTTCAGATACAGGGGGAAGGATTTGATCGGGTCGGCTTACCCCGACATATAGGTGCTATTTAAGAAAGAAAATATAAGAACTGATGCTTTGTAAAGGTTCCTTTAGGAAGTTGCCGATATAACCGAGCGACTTGACCGATGTCATGACACAGACCTCTCTATTTGTCTCAACGGATGTATATAATAATTGTGAGAAAAATCTGTCGATGCTTTTATCATGGGACCAATGGTTGGTGTACCAATAAATAAAATTTTTCGGAAAGAAAAGTCCAACGATTTGTTTCTTTCCAACCGAATCTGCTATCGCTGGTGAAGAGTACCGATATCGCGAACAAATAATTGACGGAATGCCGCGTCCTTAAGTTTAGCGACTTGCTTGGTGTTATATGAAGACTTGGTAGTAGGAGGGGGTACGATTACTTGACAAGAGAGGGGACTCGGAGAAGTAGGGATAAGAGTATGCATACACGGAACCCTAGATTTCTGATACTTAGACGATGCGCGCTTCACAAGTAAACAGATAAGGTCGCGTAGGAGCTGTCCATTCGCTCTCGATAAAGCCACAAAAACCCGAGCCATGGTCCCGAGTGTAATTGCACAAGATCTTCCACGAGCCAGCAAGATACGCGGCCTTTCTGGATATGTACAAGTACGTGGAGTTGACTTTGAGAAAATACGAAATCCTTGGGGCGGAGTTGCGGCAAAAAGTCGTTTCCCGTCGTGGGGGGTACCTGTCCTGTAGATGCAGTGATCACAGGTGTTATCACAGCCAGAATGGCACCTACGGATACAGGCCAAAGCCGAGGAAATACTTCCAAGGTAATTCGACGATACAATATTCCACTGCAACAAATAGATTAAGAATTACGGAGAATACATTTTTTAATCGTATTCGAAAATCGAGAAAAGTCTCGGCAATGGCAGTTTTTTACGTTTCAGTGGCGAAGGAAAATCTGGAGGCGAGGGCTAAGCACAGCAATTTTTACAGGCTCGTTACAGCGTACAGAGAGCATGCTCATAAACGAGCTACCGTGAATCCAGTGTCCACTGACAAGCCGGATTTTCTCACGGAATTATTACCCGAGAAATTCGGGCTGGATCCAAGTGATAATGTCTCCTTCAAGGGGATTTTGCTCGCCGATAAAGAGAGTGGAAGTGTAAAAGAGGCCGTTGAGATGTTGAACAAAATATATGCCTCTCGCATAGGAACAGAATTTAGCTACTTAGAGGTGAGACTAAGCGTTTAATTCTCTCTATAAAGAAGGGACATTTTATAATCACTCATTTGCAGTCAGAGGAAGAGAGGGAATGGTTTGCAGAAAATATTGAGAAATGCTATGATGAGCCATTGGGCGTCCAAACGAAACGCGCGATCGCTCTGGAGATGTTAAAAAGTCAAGCTTTGGACAAATTTCTAGCCATAAAATTCGTAAGCTTCAAGAGATACGGTGGCGAAGGAGCGGAAAGCATGATGGCGTTTTTCCATGAGCTGTTCGAACTTTCCGCCCGCGGTAAGCTGAGAAACGGCGTATTAAAAAATAAGAAACATCTATTTTACAGCGACCTGTATTTATTCTGATCGCGTTGCAGATACTCTGGGCCACATCGTTCTCTGCATGCCTCACCGAGGTCGGTTAGATTTCTTAACGGGGATGTTAAAATTCCCTCCAGAAATGTTGTTCCACAAACTGCGAGGTCTATCGGAGTTTCCCGACGAGGCCAAGGCTTCGGGAGACGTTACTAGCCACTTCACGTCGTCCGTTGATCTACAGAAAAATAATAAAAATCTGCACGTAACAATGCTCTACAATCCTTCCCACTTGGAGGCTGTCAATCCAGTATCCATGGGCAAAACGAGAGGAACCATGCAAGCTCTCAAAGACGGGGCATACTCGGAGGACCAAAACTCTCAATGGAGTGACAAAGTCGTGAACGTCCAAGTAATTGTCAATTTCACTTTCGCCATTTTGTTAAAGATAAAGAAACTAATTAATATATTCTTTGAAGGTACACGGCGATGCTGCTTATGCTGGCCAAGGAGTAAACCAAGAATGTCTGGCTCTGAGTGGAGCTCCGCATTTCGAGATAGGTGGTACGATTCACATAGTTATAAACAATCAGTTGGGCTTCACGACCCCGCCATCTAGAGGACGATCGTCGAGGTACTGCACCGACATCGCAAAATCAATTTGCGCTCCCGTTATTCACGTAAACGGAGACGACCCAGAGGTCGGTATAAGTTATTATAATTTACTTATATTTGGCAAAAACGTTCTCACTGTACCTCACTCTACGTTTTGCAGATGGTCGTCAGAGCAACCAGAGTTGCCTTTAGATACCAAAGAAAATTTCGGAAAGACGTCTTCGTGGATCTGAATTGCTTTAGACGGTGGGGCCACAATGAGCTCGATGATCCCACTTTCACGAATCCTGAAATTTATAAAATTATTCACAATCGTCCGTAAGTTTTACGGTCAAAAATGAGTCACACTTTATTTGGACCACTTGAGGGAAGTATTCAAGAAACGTTATGTTTCAGATCGGTACCCGACAGTTACTTGAGTAAATTAATAAAAGAAAAAGTCCTTTCGGAGGCTGAAGGACTTTCCATGACGGAGGAGCATACAGCAAAGCTGTTCAAGGCTTTAAAGGAAATTGACAACTACACACCTAAGGCAACTTACCTCAGTGGAAAGTGGCTCGGCATAAAACAAGCCGAATCGTCAATCACTACCTGGGACACTGGAGTAGATTTGCAGCTCCTGAAATTCGTTGCTACGAAAAGTGTTTCCTTTCCGGATGACTTGGTAAATTTCCATTGCCACGAGAACCATATTTCCTTTCAAACGCCTTTCCTTTGATACCTCTCCTGAGAACTTGAAAATAATTATTTAAACATTTATTCTTTATAGACACTTTGCCATGTACCTTTAGAAGGATTTTCATTGTCTTTTCATGCGATTTAAAATGTTTTACTTTATTCGTTCTTTCTACAGAACGTTCACCCACAACTGCTGAAGAGTCATGTACAAAGTAGGTTGAATAAAATCGAAGATGGAAATAGACTGGACTGGTCCACTGCAGAGGCATTGGCATTTGGAAGTCTGCTCTATCAAGGATATAACGTGAGAATCAGTGGCCAGGATGTCGGTCGTGGGACGTTTTCCCAGAGGCACACAATGCTTGTCGACCAAACTACGGGAGGTACTTTCAATTTCTTTGACGAAAAGAATGTGTATGATTGAAATTGTTCGCTAATGTTTGACGACCATTTTTTAGAGATTTTCATACCTTTAAATGAGATGGTGAAGGACCAGGTGGGGAAGATAGAAATTGCCAACAGTATTTTATCGGAGGAAGCAGTTCTCGGATTTGAATATGGCCTGAGTATAGAATCGCCGACAACCTTGCCGATTTGGGAAGCTCAATTCGGTGATTTTTGTAATGGTGCACAGATCATTATAGACACGTTTGTCACCAGTGGTGAGACGAAATGGATGACCAGCAGTGGATTGACCCTGCTTCTTCCTCATGGATATGATGGTGCAGGTCCTGATCACAGTTCCTCCAGGTTCGAAAGGTTCTTACAGCTCAGTGATAGCAGAGAAGACAGGCCTGATGGAGATGACGTGAACATACAAGTAGTCAACCCCACCACACCTGCACAGTATTTCCATTTGCTTAGGCGACAGGTAAATGAATTTCCATTGTTGGTGTTAAGTAAAACAAATGTTAGGTATATTGAAATATTACTTACTTAGATGATCAGGAACTTCAGGAAGCCATTGATAATTGTCGGCCCTAAGATCCTTCTTCGACATCGTGCTGCGACTTCGACCTTGACAGAAATGTGCCCAGGAAACCGTTTTAAAAATGTTATAGGTAGATATGTTGAACATAGTAAATTACAATGTTCACCGTCAAAAATTATTAATCACTTTCTTTTAGGAGATGAAACGGCAGATGAGACGTCTGTAACAAAAGTGATACTGGTTACTGGGAAACATTATTATGCACTCGATGAAGCAAGAAAGGCTCAAAAGATTAAAAATGTTGCAATCGTGAGATTGGAGTGCTTATGTCCTTTCCCGTTTCTGGAGCTGCATGAAGAAATTCAAAAGTACAAACATGCACATGGTAAGTAAGAAATTGATATGGACAAAATTGGCGTAATGATTGTGAGAATTCTTCGGTAGTTTTCGTGTGGAGTCAGGAGGAACCACAAAATATGGGAGCATGGACTTTTATAAAACCACGATTTGAAAATTTATGTGGAAAACGGGTACGCCTCACTTTTATAAATTAGGAAATAATGATCAGACATACAACATAAATATCTTGTATAGCATTTATACTTACAAAAGCTGTATTTTCTCTTAAAATTTAATACCCAGTTTTATGTGTTTAATTTGAGTTTTATTTTCTTCAGTTGAAGTATTGCGGTCGCGAGCCGTTAGCCGCGAGTGCCGTTGGAATAGGCTATATACACCAAAAAGAAGCTCAAGAAATTGTATCTAAGCCATTTACGATCAACTCGTGACCGTCAGATGTACGTATGACTTTTTCTAAAAATGTTATGTATTAATTTTCATGTGCACCTGTGTGTAATTAAAAGTAATAAATCGGGCACAGCAATACTACGTATGTAATAAATTATTTCTCTTCCAATTTATTTGCCTATTATTGGGTGTTTTAGCGGTACACTAAGTTACTTGTTAATGTTTTGGAGAAAAAAATAATAAATTTCCTACATTAGTTTAAATAACAGTGCCAAATTTAAATTAGAGATTATTTTTTAGTTTTATCAGCCTCCAGTCGTTGATGTTCTTTTTCAACTAGGGTCTTCAATTCGTCCTGTTAAAAGAGATTAACGGAAAATGAATGATTATATAATTATACAGAATTTTTCGAACATATTAAATATCTAAACTCACCCCCCAACCAAGTTTCTCAGCCAAAAGTTGACATCCAGTGTCACAATCACCTAGCCATGCTGCGTCACGTCCAGCGTGGGATTCACTAGGATCAAATACTAGCCCTTGTCTCATACCAAAAAACCGAACTAATCTATCCTGAATGCCCACTTTCTCTTTGTTGATAAGTAATCGTGGACAAGATGAACTTACTCTGGAAAAATTAATTTACATTCAAATTTCAGAATTCAAAAGTAACCATAAAGAAAGCATCATATTCATGTACAACAAACATAATTATCACATACTTATCTACCAGTGAAGCAAACGGTTGTACCACTAAACTCGAGCCCATGATAATTAAAAGATCTGCTTTTGAAAAGTCTTTATCAATAAGTGCGTGAAAGCGGTCAGGTAGCATTTCTCCAAAAAACACAATATCTGGCTTTACAACTCCTTCATCGCATTCTTCGCATATTGGCACAAGGTCCGTAAATATTTTCTCTAAAATATATTATATATACAATGTTTCAGCTAATTTTGTTAAGAGATACATTGAACTAAATTCAGCAGGGTTTATGGTTATACAATTTCAGATACCTTTCATCCAATCAAGTGTATAAGGTGCTCGACATTTTAAACAACGTCCAGTATGAAATGTTCCATGAGCTTCGCACAGAAGTTCTTCGGGAATTCCTGCAACTCTTTCTAACGTATCAATATTCTGAGTATAATGGCGCAGAAGTAATCCTTTTTCCCACAGTAATCTAATAAAATAGTGACTAACAGTAGGTTTAAATCCTTCAGGCATTAACTGTTTAGCTAATGTGAAGAATGGTTTCGGATCTTTTTTAAAAAACTTTATCTCAAAGATCGCCTGAGGATGTGGTAAATCGTATTTAGCTAGGTTGTGATATAGTCCACTGGATGGCGATCGAAAATCAGGAATTCCAGCAGCTGCAACAATAAAATACTTATTGATTCTAGTACAATTCCAGGATGATGTTTCTACCTGATGCCATAAGAAAACAACAACACAATATTAAAAAGATGTGTACATTTCCCTTGCAAAACTCACAAGTGGAAATTCCTGCACCAGCCATGGTAATGATTCTGTGGCATCCATTCTCCTTAATGTAATCGACAATGCCATCCAATGTGAATTCTTTGAGAATTTTCTGTGGTTGAGGTTCATCTTTGTCTGAGTCATAAATTTTCAATTTTTGAGACAGATACTTATAAATCTTCTCCATCTGTGAGTCTTCTGAATCGTCTAGATTGTCAACTGATGTTTGAGGATCTGCCTCGCTCGCATCACCTCCTGTACGAAAAAATTGATTAATTTACACATCTATGTAAAAATAACATGAACGTTCAGAATGATTAAAAGAATATTAATTTACAGCGAATTACCCTACATTTCAATAACACAAAATCAGATTCGCTCCCTTTTCATAAACAATATTTTTTCACAATATTAACTTCACGGCTCAAAGCAATTCATTGATACTCACAAAATACAACTTAAGAAACGATACTATTCGCGTGCTTTCTCAAATGTGTTAAGAATTCTCATCGCATAATATTTTAAACTATCGAAGATGCGAAAACATCTGACAGATGAAACATAACCTAGACGTGAAACGTCAGATTGCGCGTCAAATGACGATAAGCTTTCCCTAACAATATTACCCTTCCGCTCCTCCGCATCACCCTCTTTTTCCATGGCACTCGATAATCAATGATACCCCTGTATCCTAACAATGTCTCTTGTCCACGTTTATTGACACAAACTTTCGTGTTTTCTTTCGCAGAGCGCAACCTCCATTCATTGAGATATTGCCCTCACCTTCGCACTGTGATTTCTCACATAATCGCATATCACCGTCGTGAACTTACACCTACATGCAAATACGAATTCACCCTTTTTAAATGTTTTCATAAATTCAAATAAAAGTCGATTCATTTTTCACTTATCACTACATTCGCTAAATGAAAATGTAAATACGCGATTTAGCTCAATAATAGCGCCATTTTTTTGGCGCCACTTTGGAGTTCCTGACCTTTTTTTGCTAGTGTATCAAGTATTTAATATCAGATTCGTTTGAAATAATTATCTTTGGATCGTTTTAGTAGACATACAAAAGCATAGGCACAGGTAATGTGACTATCGTTAATGGAATCTCAAGGTTGAGATAATTGCCATCATCATCAGACTTCGAAAATGGCGCAGACTAAAAGTCATTTAGTTGAAAGATTCTTCGATCCATGAATGCACACGTAGGATACAAATCGTTCCACGATTTAATTTCGATTTTTATCAGCCAGATGTAACGTTTAAACGCGTTATTAAATGTACAGTGTATGAAGTATGATATGCTCTGACAATTCAGCTGAGTACATTCTGCTTATGACAGAGTTACGAGTTAAGAAACACGTAGAAGCTTAAAAAATTATTCCATCATTATAACGTTGAGTAGGAAATTTTGTATTGACCCCGATTTTATCTTAACTGCTCCGTATTTAGAAGGATCATCAGACATGAGTTACACAGTCATAATAAAATATTTAACAAAGAAATATATCTACCCATGTCTAAAAGTACGAGAAGGGCTCTTCTGTCCGTGACAGTTCAATGTCGATTTAGTCCTAAATGCTAACTGCGTAATATTGACTTTAGCTACACTTTCGCTCAAATACAATTTCTCAGGAATGTCGAGTGCATCATATACGATTACCGTAATATTGCCTTAAAACTACAATTGCGACAATACTCGACACAGAATCGCTCAATAATCGTTCTTCCTGACAAAGCGATTGCGCAAAAGTGCTCACACTAATTTTCAACTTTCACCTCGAAGCACGCCAGTTGCTTCTGATACAGAGTGTTGCAATTGCTTGATATAAAAAGTGTTATGTTTCCTTCGCTTCGGCGATTTGTTTAAAAGACTTGCGTTGATACTGCTATATATTATTTGCATCTTCGGTGAATGCGGAAATATCTGGCAAAATGCTTTTAACAAGTTCAAAAACCGGTAGCCTCTTTGTTGATAACCACTAATCGAAAATCAATGATCAAAAACTGTAAATAATTTTTAAAAGTACTGCAAATTTTAAAAGTTTGCAATGGAGGAACTTCTATAGGTTTATTTATATAATCTACAGTTCGGGTATGGAACGTTCAGATATAATAGAATAGTTTGCGTTCCGTTTTTTTTTTTTAATGCTGTACATACATACTGCTGTATGTATTTATATACATACTACAGTACGGCATACCCTTACCGTACCTAGGTATTCTTGGCATTGAATATAGTTTCTGCTGCAAGATTGGGATCCAGTTTTCCAAGGTTCAACCGTTTAGCAGGTGCATCGCGCGTAAAATTTAGCCCTCCGATTGGTTGGACAATTTGCATGCCTCCGCGAATCGTCACCCTGAAAATTTCGGTTTCACCATCTTTCGAATCTAAACCGCTAACTAGTTTATCCATTTTTCCTTTCGAAAGGCGTCGGATTCCTGGATTATAAACGGATAACTTCATTGAATTCCACTTCGTCTCTTGTTCACCTTCGACAGACCGCTTAGGAAGCAAGAGTCAATTCACCGCGAGTAGAATGAAAATCGTGTCTCTCTAAATAAAATCCATGGCACAAAGGGCCGATGGAACAAAGAAGGCGGTTAAAACGATACACCTAATTCCGCCACTCGTAGTACCCCTCATGACTTCAAAAGCCACCTGTAATTGAAAGAAATATTCTTATCCGATTATCTACCCCTTGTGGGTCCTCTATGTGCGTCACGCTCATTGGTCGACGCAGGTCCATGCACGTAGCGCGCCCGAGAATCGATGCTCCGAAAAACATACGGAGGTCTCAAATTAGCGGCGACCGGTTCCTGGGATAACCTTGGTGTCTGAGAACGTGGCTACACCATAGACATAGATGGGTTCACTTCTAAGGGCGAGTGAATGACCTTCCCGGTTGCGGGTAAAGTGGAACGTCGGGGGGAGATTCGGGGGTTACCCAAACAAGAAGGACGCTGCTACTTATAAAGCGCATCGCTTCCGCGGCGAGTGCCAGTCGTACGTGGACTTTTAACCCGATAGTTTACGACGTTTTTGAGTGTAATCACATTTTGTCGTCTTTTCTTCGCCCAAGGCTGATCGGTTTTACTGCCTCTTAGTGGGTCAGTTTTCGTGGCGTGGTTGCGCAGTGATTGCTGTGCTCGCAGGGTGACTTCACGCACCTCCAACGCACCTCACGACGTGCCGCTAAATTGCAATTGTTGACGACAGACGCTCGTTCCTTATCTCCGCTAAGTACCTGCCAAAGCGCGAATTATTTCTACTCTTTCCCATATAACCTACTCGCTTCCGTATCCAAATCGAAGAGAATAAATAATAAAATATGGAACTGGTACGTCCAGACCTGCCATCACGTTGCACGTGGAAGCCAAACGCCACGGATAGTCCGCACACGCTACGTAATCAGTAAGTTTATGCTGATTTATTTATTCCATTTTATCTTTTACTTTTTATTACGTCAAAACAAAGTGACGACTATTCGCGGAAGTATCCGAGATTGGCCGGGACAAAAAAAATCAATTTCCGAGGACGAGGTTCTCTCCTATTTCGCTGTACCACACGCGTAAGCACGAGGCGCTGAGTAAGCAAACTATCAAAAAAGGAAATAACGTCTAGTAGCGATAAATGATTAAGAAATTGCTAATGTTTAGTGATCAAGGGTTATGGTGAGCTTAGACTAATATTATGATAATTTGAAAGGAAGTCGAATAGGGGCAAAAAATATTCCTACTAAAATATCTCATTGAATCAGCCCATTTTGTTGCTGCTTGTGCAAGGTGACTGTATTGTTTACGTATCAGAATAAAATACCATAACTGTAGTGTTTGTTTATTAAGCACTTCAAAAAGGGATACCTTTCTTGATTTTTAGACATTGTAATTGGTCATTCATTTCCTTTGATCTAGAAAAAAGGTATATTTTAAAATGTTCAAGCTATGTTCAACGTACATATTCTTTGTTATGCATAATAAAAATGTTTGTTTCTTGCAGATGCAGTGATCGTAAAAAAGTTTTGCCAGATATTTTAAGTGTAGTTGGACAAACTCCAATGGTACGGCTGGATAAGATACGGAAATTGTATGGAATCAAATGTGAACTGTGTAAGTGTCTGATTTCAGAGATACAAAAATATTCTTGGACCTGATACTAGTGCTGCGTATGGAATCTTTCTGAGGTTGCATGACCTTCGAAAGACTTCGTAACCTCGATTAATGCTAATAAGAATCAATTAAAATCATGTGTGACTAAATTTAAAAAGGTGTTAAACCTTTGTTACACGTTGAAAACTTTATGTTAATAAAATAGGAAAAATTAGTATTAACACGTTCTGTGCCATGCCGTGTACCAGTCAAAGTTAACGTGTATTATCGGCGGTGCATGTGGCACGGAACATGTTAAGAAACATAAATATAAGATATGTCGCACGTGCCAGCAACGAGTTAAGGGAATTGCATAATGTACAGCATATCAATATAATGTAGTTATATTTTGTAGTGGCAAAATGTGAATTTATCAATCCGGGTGGATCTGTAAAGGATAGAATTGGTGTTAGGATGATGCAAGATGCAGAGGAAAAAGGAATTTTGAAACCTGGTTGTACCATTATCGAGCCCACAAGTGGTAACACAGGCATTGGATTGGCCATGGCATGCGCAGTGAAAGGTTATCGATGTATTATTGTCATGCCAGAAAAGATGTCTAATGAGAAGGTCTATACACTTCGAGCATTGGGTGCTGAAATAGTTCGAACGCCAACAGAAGCTGCATGGGATAGTCCTGAAGGGCACATAAGCGTATCACAGAAATTAAAAAGTGAAATCCCTAACAGTGTGATTTTAGATCAGGTAAAGTACATTTAAATTTAGAATTACCTTTTTGAATGAATTATTAAGTTACTGGGTAATAATAAAAGTTATTATGTAGTATACCAATGCCGGAAACCCATTGGCTCACTATGATGACACTGCCATGGAAATTTGGGAACAGTCTGAAGGGAGAATTGATTATTTGGTAATTGGAGCTGGTACTGGAGGAACGATAAGCGGTGTAGGTCGCAAATTTAGGGAAATTTCACCAACCACGAAAATAGTAGCAGTCGATCCAGAAGGAAGTACTCTTGCAGAGCCAGCGGAGTTAAATAAGACTGCCGTTACTTTTTATGAAGTGGAAGGAATTGGGTAAAATTTAACTCTAACTCTTTCACTAACTATGCTGAAACCAAAAATTACTTGTATCATATTTTACTTCATATTAGTAAAGAATATATATCAAACTAATTAACATGTTCTGTTTGTAGGTATGACTTTGTTCCAACCGTACTGGATCGGGATGTAATAGATGCATGGATTAAAGTTAACGATTGTGAGTCATTAAACGCAGCTCGTACACTGATACGCGAAGAAGGCTTGCTTTGCGGTGGTAGCAGTGGTGCAGCGTTATCGGCAACTATTAAAGTAGCAAAGGATCTACCAGCTGAAGCACGTGTCGTGACATTACTGCCCGATGGAATTAGAAATTATATGACTAAATTTGTTTCTGATCATTGGATGGAAGCTCGAGGATTTTTAGTACGTTGAATAGTAAATATTCAACCTCCATCAGAATCATATTCATCTTTCATTTTATCTTAATAAAAAACAAATCCTTTTTAGGAACCACCTCCTCCCATTCAAGCAAATAAGTGGTGGTGGGACAAGCCTGTGTCAAGTCTCAATTTGAAAAATGCAGCTGTCCTGGTTAAAGGAGCAACTTGTCAGCAAGCAATCCAGATCCTTCAGAAGGAGGGAGTTGCTGAGATTCCTGTTACAGATGAAGAAGGCAATGTTAAAGGCGTTATTACATTGTGTGCGCTCGTAACTAATTTAAACTCGGGCAAAGTAAAGCAAACAGATTGTGCGGAAAACATATTAGTGAAGCAATTTAGAAAAGTGGCCCTTTCGACTACACTTGGCAGACTGTCACGTATATTCGAAAAGGACTCATATGCTGTCGTTCTTGATGAGAAACACGATGGGTCGGTGATAGGAATTGTCACTCGAATAGATTTACTGAGTTTCATTAGCAGTTTTACTGATATTCCCCATGTTAATGGTGAAGCATGATAAAATGGAACACTGGTATAGTTTTGAGAATCTATAGAATAAATATTGCACGCAATTGTGCTATTGTTTACAATATACTTAAGAACAGGAGTGTGCCAAAAAGGAATTTGTAGTATGGCACATTCAATTGATATAGTCTCATTTATATTAATTGAATGATATTTCATTTCTTAAAATACAACTACTGCAAGGTAGCAATTGATTATTGTTTATAAAATACAAAGAAATGTCATTTTTTATCATAACTCATTTCACAGTACAATTTGCTACATCACATTTAAATAAAGCATTTATAACAAATTCCTAAATAGGAATAGTTCTTAATTATACATTATTTTTTAATTAATAAGGTATAATTTAATAGTGTAACATCTTTGAATAGTATCTAACAGCAATTTTAATGGTTATTAAAGTGTTTATAAGTTTTTGAAGATAACTTGAACACCAGTATCAATCAAGGTTTTGTATAATTAGTACTAACAAGTTCTGTATTTCCAATTTAAATTTGTACTTTGAAATACCTGCCTAATCCTGAAATGTCACGTTTGGCTATGACTTATAAACATATCCAACTAATGTTGATGAATGCACTTTTCACCAGGTAATTAATTTATATAATTGTAGTTCAATGGGGACTGATCCATAAATACTTTTATTAATAAACAATCATATTCATATAAATACTATTCTATTTTCTTTAAACCCATCTTTGTCAGTAATTTTTTATGCTAAGAAAATAAAAAATTGCAGACCTTTAGGGATTAACTGTATACATTCTTATTTACAGGTATACCTACGGAATAGTTATATTCGCTGTACTTGGACGTTGAATTTACAACTTGGTAATGCAGACACTTCGGCCTTTACTGTACTGACTATGCCAAGGTTAGCAAGACTACCACGTAAAAGGCCACAGGTAAATGCTAGCAAACGAGGGCTCTCCCGTAGGTACTGCTGGCTTCCATTCGCGCCAATGTTTGCTAGTAGTCGGAACTCATTGTCATGTAATACGTACACACCATGATGATTTGTTCGTAAGTTGTCAATTTGCTTGTGATAAAGGCAAGTCCAAAAGTCTGTGCAAATGAATTTGATCATGTCTAACTCTTCTTTGAATCGTGCCCATTCCTTTGTCAATCGTTCAATGATACGATATCCTACGCTGAACCCCATCCATTCTAAACGAGATAATTCTTCTTCTCCATCCTGCTAGGAGCATACATTTTTGTATGAATGTACCTTTATTCCTACAGGATAAAAAGAATTGTACGTAATATATGTCTACCTTATTGTCTGACGTTGTAGCCAAAACATAATTAACTATTTCTGCATGTAAATATTCAAAGAGGCATTTGTCAGCTTCTTCTAAAGAACATGCTGATAGCTTTGACTCCAGCCCTTGCTGTTTCATACTTGCAGTTTAATTCTCCAAATTAGTTGTTTATACATACATAAGGTACTGTAGCTCCCAGAGATGAGTTGGGAGATTGCTCACGGGCAGGGTCGCGTGATCGCATCCTGTGCTGCCCTCTGGTTTCGTACGTTAGCTTTCACCGTTTTTTGCCCCCAAGGGCGGCGCTTTGAATTTCTGACAGTAGTTCGCGCTCTCCCGATGGCGGTACCATCTACCAGTCGCCGTTGGCGGCTTCCGCACGCACGCACGCACGCACGCACGCACGCACGCACGCATGCGAGATTTCGAACGTTTTCGAGCGTTTCAGTTAGGTTAGGTTAGGTCAGNCGTGCGTGCGTGCGTGCGTGCGTGCGTGCGTGCGTGCGTGCGTGCGTGCGTGCGTGCGTGCGTGCGTGCGGGCGGGCGGGCGGGAGCCGCCAACGGCGACTGGTAGATGGTACCGCGATCGCGAGTGCGCGAGCTACTATCAGAAATCCGTTGCGCCGCCCTTGGGAGCAAAAAACGGTGAAAGCTATCGTACGAAACCAGAGGGCAACACAGGATGCGATCACACGATCCGGCCCGTCAGCAATCTCCCAACTCATCTCTGCAACTGAATTAAATTGAATTAAATAAACTGGATGTGGTACTGTGCTCAAATCACTTGACCGAAATCCAACATACGATAGAAGATGAAGAGATAAACTGGATAAATAAATGTTACATGTGCTGGCAGTGATGCTGGAGCTGGTATATGAAAATAAAACATGATGAATTTTTGAAGTATGGTTTGTTCGTTAAAGTTAGCAAAGACAAAAAATTATTATGAGAATGATTTTCCATCGAAAACAACTATAAAGTACATCTGAATGAAACTAAAAAATGTTCAGCATATTTCGCATTTTACCAATATGAGATAATGTGATTAACAAATAAGATAACAATAACGAATGAGTTGCGTGTCCCTGAAAATTGCAAAAAATTAAGACGAGAATTTGCACTGTGTCATAATGGAAGAAATTCCTTCAGGTAAATTTAATTACCTATCGATAAGCTTTGGAACTGAATATTTTCGTAGGTTAGAACGTATTTTCCAACCAACTTATATTGACTCAAATCCATAGAATTATATGAGATATGGGATTATATTTGGCACAATTTAGTACTTAGTGAATCATCACTTTAAGTTCACACGACATTTGATAATGTTATTCAGGTAATGATGCAGTTTCCACACAAAAGTCATTATTGCCTTTTCATGATCCTGGATGGAACGACCCACCAAAGTGGGCTTACTCTTCGCCGCAAAGTCAATGCGCGACTCCAGGCAAAAGAGTCCTAAACAAAAGGGTAGCGTTTCCTCTAAATTCAGCAGTTCCTCAATCGAACATTGACCCACTTCAACCACTGTCAACATCCGTAACCAATATACCAGTACCTCCGCAACCTTCTATACCTTGTGCTCCACCTCCGACTCCTTCTGGCCTATCCACGGAAGGCATGAGTTTAAATGTGGCAGTAACTAAGGAACAAGCACTAAAGGATACCATGGGAAATCTGGAATGTGTGATAAAACAATGTGAAGATTTAAAGGGCAAAACTGAGGAAGTTAGAAAAAGGTTAGACATCATGAGAAATTTGTGGATGGAAGACAAACTGACTGAAACCATACATAAAAATGTTTTGGAAATATCCGAAGGTTTGTTCGTTCACGATTCATTATAACCTATCGAAATACTGATTTCACGTAATGTAAATTAAATAAAATTCTTTTCTGCAGCTCTTAGGTGTAATGATTGCGACCGTGCTGATAAACTCCACGTTTCGATGGTGATGGAACACGCTGCTCTATGTAGTTCTTGGGTACCTGGCATTAGATATTTAATCCAAGAAGCAAAAAAGAACTATGACAGAACGGAAACTACAGATGTCGATAAACCTCACCCATACCTTTTACCGACGACAGACACAGAATTAACATAATAGCTTTTTCATACCCGAAAACAGCATCTAGTAATTTTAATCGAAAGCTTTTATAACATACTCCGGCACGTATAATTATATACAATGGATAACATTAAAATAAGGGGAAATCTTTTAACCCTCCGATTTCACATAAGTATCAAAAACATTTAATGTTTACGATCAAGTATATATACAACGTACTAACTAGAACATATATTAATCTTTATACAGGTTGTAAAATATCCTTGTCAGCACTTCTTACAGTTGGGAATAAAAATTGTTTATTAAGTGTTCAACATACGGTACAATAAACGACCAAAACGCTTACAAATACAATTCCTATCAGTTGATGGTAACGTATGCACATAACCTGTACCGACATCGTCATCGATCGGACATCGAGGTTCCCGTGCGCCGCCAGAGGGCGACACGAGCTTCAGCGAAAAAGTTCCGAGCAACTGGTGCACCCGGATTGACTTTCAATCACGCTATCTTAGGGCTGGACAGGAAACCGCTGGACCGGTAAAAGTCCCTAATAATATTATATACTATACTAAAAGGAGATCGTCTCTAAGTCGTTAATTTAGACTTATTTCAGTCTCTGGGCATTCACGTGGGCAACGTTGAAAAGATAGGCGAACGACAGGAGCAAAATTGGAACCGAAGGGAAAGGAGCTCGCGGGGGATCCCGTTGTTCCTCCGAGGTGGCAACCAGTCAAGGAGGTTAAGGGTGACGCGGATAAATGCGCCGCTCCAAAGGCCCCTTTCGCGCGTCGAACCGCCGACGCTCCCGGTGAAATAACGCAGAGTGGAAGCGGCCTCGTGTTTACCAATTCAAATGAACTAATTACCGTAGGGCACGCAGGCGCAATTTCTCGCGTGCACTTCTCCGCACGCCCGACGGTTGGCTTTTTGCGAATAGGTCCACTTTTCAGGACCCTTCTTGCCCGAGTCTCGGCCGCGTTCGAGACGGCTCCCCGAAACGCGCGACTCCTGTCCGACTCGTAAATTAACGCTCGAACACAGAGCTGGAGCGTTCGCGATTTAGCTGACGCTCGGCCGCGTAATCTCGCGGGATTCCCTTGGGCTCCTCGCGCTTACAAATGAGGGCCCGCAGACGTTCCATGCCGCGAGACATCGCCATAATGTTGGAAACATGCCCGCGAATAAGGAAAAAGGTCAGCCGCCATTTTGGCTCGTTCGCAATCAGTCGGAAATCGTAGCGAGTACCGTAACCACCTGTAGGGCAGTTTGGCATATTTTTTAATCGTCGCTCTTTATTCCTATAAATATCTCAAGAGAATATATCACGTAACGCGGCAAATGAAATTACAACGGGGAGAGGAGAAATCCGGAGTAGCGGGTCTTTTGTGGCAAAGGAGAGAGCCAGGGCGGACGGGAAGGATTCCGAATGTGCATTTAATTAAACCTTTGAGGGCCGCTGAATTTCCGCGAAGCAAGACCGACCGCGATCGAACCTTGGAGAATCTTCCGCTCGGCGGAGACCGATAATGCATCTCGGCGGACCCGCGGATTGGGAATCAAAATCCCGCTGCGATTCTTCTTAAGAAGAATAAACATACGGCAGCGATTACCGAAGCGAGGGACGACCAAAGCTAGGGAAATGCTCCCGAGCGAGACGCCAAGCGCGACCGTGGCGCGTTCTCGGATATGGAAAATTGGAGCCGATAGGAAGTCAAATAACGATACGGTCAGCACAAAGGCTCGAATACGTTTCACGCGGCGCTACGGCACTCCGATTGAAACATCAAAGATTTAAACGTCATCCACGGAGATAAATTCGGGGCTAACGGGTAATTAACCGCGGGCGGTACGAAAAACGATACGCGCAGCGCGGGGCGCCTGTGCGGCGAATCCGACGCGACCCGCGTGCCTTTCGTCTCGTCCGAGTTTCCAAGAGTCAAGGTGCGGGAGAAGAAGGTAACCCGGTCGCGGGGGGGGGGAGAAGGGAAAGAATCGGAACTCCTCGGACCGACCGCATCGGCTCGGGGGCGCCGGGGCGCCGGGGCTCGGGGGCTCGGGGACTCGGGAGCTCGGCGCTCCGAGCGTCGGGGGTAGTCCCCCGGTAGTCCCGTGGACCGTGGGCACAATATTGATCGGCGGGTGGGCTTTAGAAGAGACCGAGTGGGGGGACGGAGGCTGCGCGGTGGACCGGGGCGCAGGCTCGCCGAGATCGCGGCGGCGGGACCGGTGGGAGGCACCACCCCCCGGGGGGAGGTGCGCGAGCTCGCGAGGTCGGGGATCTCCTCGGGGCGCTCGCGCGACTCGCGCGCGGCGCTCGCGTCTCTCCCGCTCTCTCAGTTACGTTGGCAACCGTGGGACGAGCCGGACGAGAGGCGCGCGCGCTCGTGTGCACTCGGTCCTCCCCGTGTCTCTGTCCACCGGACCGCTCGCTTCCGGGCCCGCTTCCGGGCCGCGGCTCGCGGAGGGAGAGGGGATCGCGCCCCGACGGCCGGCCCGGACCGCGACTCGGCCGCGAGTGAGGCGCCGATCCGCGGCGCGCGCTGACAGGGCGTCCGAGTCGCTCCCGATCGCGCCCGATCGCGACCGCGCCATGTCGCCGCGAGGCCGCCTCGCGCGCCACCCCCCGCTGGCCGGCCAGATCGCCAGGTGAAACCGGCGCCGATCGGCAACGGCCTCCTCGGGGGCCCTCCTCCGAGTGCGCGCCACCCCCGACTCGACTCTGCTCTGCCCCCGTCCCTTCTTCCCCGTTCTCTCGACGGTAGGTATCGACGAGCCGCGGACGATCGCAGGACCGACGCGGGGAGGAGGCCCGATCCGCGAACCGGGCGCGGACCCTTCCTTTTCTCGAGTGCTCGGGTTACCCGGGTTACCCGGGTTACCCAATCCCCCGCGAGTTACGGCCTCTCCGAACCTCCGTAAAGGGACGTATACGTTTTTATCCTCGAAACTCGACCCGGAGACCCACTTGTAAATCCCGCCCTACGAGTCGGCTTTCGCTTTTCCTCTTTACGGCCGCGGTCGTAACCGCGTAACAAAGCACCGATCCCCAGTGAGGAAAATCGAGACCCGGTGCCCGGGCCCACGTGCGTCGGTTCCGGCCGACCGGAGCCGCCAGGGTTCTCGATTGCGGACGATTTCAGCACATATTTTCGGGGGTGGGAACGGGCCCGTCTCGCGCGCTCCCCGGAGGCGCGTTATTACGGAATCAGCTGAGACCGAGGGGGAAAATTACGACTTTCGGGACTCCCGCGATGCCGAGCCAACTTGGCCCCGAGGAGCCGCAATTCAGAGAATTACCTTGGTTACGGGAATCGCGTCGGAGCGAGACCCTCCATAACTCGGAAAGTAGACTCTCGACTCTTGGGGGATCCTCCGGGAGGATAGACGACCCCAGGAGCATCGACTCCTGGAGGACTCGTCGAAGTCACCCAGGGGATCGCCTCGCGGAAGGAATCCGTGTATCGAGTCCTATATTCCGTGTTCGCCTATCTAAAGGGGCGAGTAAACGCCGACGACCGGAAACGGCGGCTTCTGGCCACGAGCCGGAAGTCCCTTCCGCGGATCTCTCGTCGAGGAACACCGTCGGGGTGACGGCGAGAACGCGGAGAGGATAATTACCGCACGTTCGGGCACCGAATTCCGGGAATCGCGGCCTCCCATAAATCTCCCGGGAGGTCTAACGTAAGTTCGAGGCATAATCGCGGCTCCCCATAAATCTCCCGGAAGGTTTACCATAGGGTCGGAGCATAATTAGCGTCGTCCGGCAAAAAGGCGACCCGGGTCCTCTACTTCGGCACCCTCGTCCCCCGGAACCTCCTTGCGGGTTTTTCGACGCCACTCGTGGGTACGGAGGACGCGCGATTTTTCTTAACGCGGCCGCTCGACGCCAACGCAATCATCGGCTATTTAAAGTGTGATTTTCCGCTCCGCGAAGTACATATTAATATCCGGTGCCGCACACCAGGTCGGACCCGTCTTTTTAAGATTCTTACGTTTACTCGAGCAACCAGGACGACGGCTCTCTCTCTCTCTCGGTCTCTCTGGCTCTCTCTCCCCCCCTCTCTCTCTCTCTCCGTTCACCCCGATAAGTACACCTTATCGAGGAGGACCGATCGATCGGAATTCACCATCGCGCTTCGATATTCCCCGATCGAGGGAAACGCCGTGAAACGAGCATCCCCCGCGGCGGACATCAGGGGTCTTCGAAAACCGCCTCGCGAATCGATTCGGACCCTCGCACTGGATACGTTTCGGAAAGGGTGGAATTATCGGCGAAGAAAATCGGTCTTGGACTCGTACACTGAGAAAAATCCAGCCGTGAAATAGGCGCCAGCTTCAAGGAATACGATATAGAACTATAGAAGGAGAGAATACAATTTGTAAAGCTGTTCCTTCTTACCGTAGTTGTACATTATACCACTTGTAGAGACTGGGGTCTGTTACACAACTGTAGTGGTTACGCATACTATTACTTTCTCTTGGGGTACTCTCGAGCCTTGGCCTTGCTCGGTCGAAGAGGACTTGGCAGAAGGGCCAAGACCGATTTTGCTCATCTCTGGAGCGAATCGTAGGTCCATGAGAGAGGATAGATTCTAGATTTGAAACGCGTCCGGTGGGAAGAGCTGATCGACCATCTCAATAACCGGCATCGCGAATAATCCGTGTTCCGTGCGAACGGTTCGGATATGTTCCGCGAAACTCACTCTCTCGCAGTCGTTAACGGGCGGCGATCGTTACAGCCACAGAGAGAGAGAGAGAGAGAGAGAGAGGGAGAGAGCGCAGAGGTTTAGGCCGACGTGGCGGCCCTCCAGGGATGCGCGCGAATCGCTGCCGCGCTGCGCCGAGCGCTCGCCGAACCCGCCGAACCTATTAATTATTAACGCGGCCGCGCGATCGAGGCAGCCCGAGGAAATTCCCAGTCGATCGCCGACCAAGTCTGGCCTCCTCCCCGGCGAGCTTTCCAGGGCGGTTGCCCGCCCGAAACCAACGGAGACGGCCGGGACCCGCCGCTCGGAACCGACCCACCTCCTTCCGGTCTTCTCTCGGCGCTTTTAATCCCGGACTTCTCGAACTACGCCAAGTTTCGCGACCGCTCGAAGTACCAACTCCGAGGTATTCCTTGCCAAGCCGGTTTCGCGTGATTTCTTCCCCGGGTCGCGGGGTCACCGGTGACGGTACGGGCATTGCGACGTACCTCGTCATTTTCTACCGGTGGATGTTTGAAAGTAAGATTTCGTTCTTACCCGATAATCCGTTCCAAGCCATCGAGACTCCAGGGACGAGTAGACTCGGTCTTGGTCTTGCTCCGTTCTGCACTTCCCGCGACTCCGTACCACTCGTGCCGGATCGAGGGGACAAAAAGCTTACCACCGGGAGCGACGAACCACGTTTGGGATGGATCGAAACCGAATCTTACTCCAGCCGGGGTGGGAGTGAAAAACTCCTGTCGGGTCGCCTGGAACTGGAAAACACCAAAGTTATCAAACGCGACCGGGAGGAAAGGTCCCGGCGTGAGTTGTGACGGTGACCCACGCGGCCCAGGGCGCGTCGACGCAAGTAGAATCGAAAATTTGAAGAAACGACGGTCCCGCCGGTTTCGGGCGCCCTTGGAGGGCGAACTCGCGGACCAATCGGCGCGGCCCGTTGGCCCCCCGCTTCGGCGACCTCGGTGCCGCGCGCCAATCGGTCGGTCTTTCAGGTGGCATGCCAGGGGGCGGCTCGAGCGGGCCGCGACCAGCGGGCGCAGTCCGAGCCTAGGGCCCGCGCGCGCGCCGCGCCCCTGCGGGAGTGTTATGACGGCCGAGTCCCGGGGTCGGGCATCGTCAGCGGACTGACCCCAGTCCGGACCTTCGGACGACAGACCGCCAAGGCGATGGGCGGCCCTCACCAGTAGCGCCGGCCCGGGACGCGCCGCGCTCCGCCGCGACCGGCATCGTCGCGCGGAGGGCTCTCTCTCTCTTTCTCTATCTCTTACTTTCTCTCCTCTCCTTTCCTCTCTCTCTCTCTTTCTTTCTCTTCCTCCTTCCGTCTCTCTCTCTGCCTCGCTCCGACGTCCGTCTGGCCGCCGCACGCCGGCTCGGCCCGGGCGAGGCCACGCGCAACATGTCGCCGGTACCGGCGGTCCCGGCTTTACCGGCCGACGCGAGTCACGCGAGGAGTCCCTTCGGCACGGCGCCAAGCCCTCCTGCCCTGCCGAGAGTCAGGATTAACGCCACCGTCAACGCCGGACTGCGCGTGCTGCTCCTGCTCACCGTCCTTCCGAGAGGTAAGTCCAGTTTCACCGGTCGAACGTCGCCGAATGGTCGATTTCGCGGGTTCGAGGGCTCCCGGTCGACCTGGAGCCACGCGAGCGTCCGAAACGACGCGCGTCACGACGGACGTTGGGTCACGATAACCGCGACGCGCGTCGCGACGGACGTTGAGTCACAAGAACGGAGATATACAAGATACGGCGAAAGTTGCCGGAATTTTATCTACACGGTATCTTGGTACTCTTACTTTTTATCACTTTTGTATATTCTGGTAAATTGACTGAATTCACAATTGTAGATCAAGGGACGCTGTTTCGTTGCCTCTTGTTTACCGATTATCGTAGTTTCGAGCATTTATGAGATACTTTGCGTCGTACTAAAATATTGCGGAAAGACTGAGCGAATTTTAGTCGCACCCTGGACTTTTGTCCTGGACCGAGGAGCGTAAAGGACGTAAGCGGTGGGCGATACGCGGAATAACCCCCACTTTGCGGTGTCCGAACCTGGACGGCGCGATCCCTTGCGAGGATTACGCCGACGCCAGGAGATCCGGCAATTTCGGATCAGCCGTGTATATTCATAAAATGAGGATTATAAGTGTCATTGTTGGGAGGATGGGAGGGACGGGCTAAGACTCTCGGTAACCGCGAATAATGGAGCGCGAGCTCCCGCGGGTAATCGCCGCCGTGGAACGCCGACTCCTCCCGTAAGGGACGATTACCGGGGATCGTTTTCGCGGGGTTCTTTCGGTCGGTCCTACTTTTTTCTCGGTAATGAGATTCCTACTTTTTCCGTTTCAATTTCCTTTTTTTCTTTTTTCTTTTTCATCTCTTCTTTTTAACCAGCGATCGGCGCACTCGTCGACCAGTCGGCTCGGCTTTGGAGCGACCGCTCTCTCGTGGACGCGATGTGTTCCTCGGGAACGCGCACGCCACCGATCGATCGGTCGGGCGAGAAGCGTCCCTCGATTTGCCTCGAGTGACTGCGTTAAAACGTTCGGTTGTCGCTCGATAGACGGCCATGCGAGAACCGCGATGAGGCTCTCGAAGCTCGTCGACCTTGCCGCCGACCCATTTAGAGGACGAGGACGAGAATTGCGAATCGAAGGCGAATTATCGCCCCGACGACCGCCGCGCCATCAGGGTGCCGATAAAACTGTCACCGGGAGATACTGTCGCGAGTGGCGGGTTCGACGACCGATTTTCGGCTATCTCGGACCCAGAGGAATTATTGGCGGTCGCCCGCCGAATAAATTATCCGCTCGCGACTCCTCCGGGAGACGAGGAAGACGTAACTATCGTCGGCGGCTCCAAAGGTGGTAAAAAAGAGCGCCGGGGTAATTTATTAGACCGAGCCGTCTAGCGAGGCGTTAAACGTCCGAGACGCTCGTCTTCGTTTATCACCGCGTAATAAACCCCAGGACCTTTGAAGACCCTGATTTTCCGCGGGACGGAAAACCCTACTATGGAGGATCGTGATTTATTTTTTTTCGACACTCCAGAAGTCCTGGCACCAGGAGGCCGATCGATCGGGACGGTCGGATAGAGCGACCCGATCAATCGAGTATTTCCTTACCTCGAGTTCTACGAGTTGCGAAAACCCTCCCAATTTGTGTTTGGACTCGGTGTAGGGGGAAGCGTTCCACACTAGTCCAGTTAGATGATTTATAATAAAAATCACTCGAGTCGAAGTATTCGCTCGAAGCATCCCTGGTCGGGATCGACCGAGTCGGACAGCCGGGCGGATCTAATCACGGTATCGAAGAATCGCTCGACCTGAAATCCCTTTCCTGATAATCTATTAGCGCGCGGCATTAGATTGGCAGGAATCGGGAACGTGACACGGGCCGCGGGAGGGGAAAAAAGGGAGGAGGAAAAAAAATATAGCCGCCATTAATCGCGGGCCGGGAGGGCCGCGGCAGGATTTTTCATTTCGTCCGCCGCGGCCGGTGGGTTCGAGTGGTCCGGCTCTTCGGGCCAGACTCTCGCAATCAAACACTTGTCGAGAGCACTCCTCGAACTCCGCTACGTAAGATTGCGAATGAACATGGCCACTCCGCGGCCTCCCCCGCGGAAAGGCTCGGCCCGAAACAATCCGACCGAGTCGCGAGCGGCGTTTGCTCGCGAACGGCCTCAAAGTGGCCATCTTGAGCCGCTCTCTATTTCGTGTCTTCGCTTCGCCTAACCCCGTGGACCTTCCACTTAGATGGCACGCGAGTCCGCAAGTTTTCCCCTTGCCGCTCTCGGCCGAAACCTTGAAAAATCGACGAGGCGCCTCCACCTCTTGGCGAGGTCGCTCTTCTCCAGGATAAACTCTAGGACGCTCGGCGCCCTCGTGCAAGAGTTTATCCGACGCTCTAGAATGAGCGTTACAACATTCACCGTCGATCGGATTGAAAATATGTACAATTTATATATCACCCCGCGATGTTTATAAAAGATGTACCTGAGTTATCTGAAAGAACCGTTTGGTAGAAATTAAAAGATAACTTTGGGCCCCTTGGTGCTCTTGGCGTCGGAGGGGACGCTTACGTGGGATACTACCCATAGCTAGGTTTGCCGGTCTCGTGTTCGTTCCTCCCTTATGAGAACCTGGAGGTACAACGGAACGCGTCGGAGCAGGGGTTTTGCCCCATTGATATTTTAGACTCGAGGGCCCCGAACTTTGAAGCGCCGCAAATCAAACGAGCTCGACGGCCACTCTCCGCTCGAGCACCGCGGAAAGCCTCGAAACGCTAAACCTTACGCTCTTTTATCTCCGTTCGAGCCTCGGGTGAGAGCGGAGCGTCAAGTCCGGAAGTTTTCCAGCGGGCGCTCGACGGAACGAGCGCTCGAGCATCGAAACAATGGCCCCCGCCCGCAAATCGCGGGGGATATCATTTGCGTTTCGCGGGAGCCGTCTTGAGGTCCCCGATGTAACGAGCCTCTCAAGAGTAATAACTCTTCGATGAGGACGCGAATATCCAGGGAAAATGGACGATTCGAGCCGCCCGGTGGAAGGCGCTCGATCGTAATCAACGGAGGCCGCGATTAAACTCTATGAAATATGGACGAAGTTCCGCGCGGGCGTTTAAACAAAAATTGATCAGAACCTGCGGCGGGTCTCGACGTCGGACGTAAACGCGTCCCGGAGGCCGCTCGCGATTTTAAATACCTGAGCGGTTTTCGGCGAGGTCGCGGCTTGGAACTTCGGGAAAAATGTTAAACACTCGGCGAGATCCGGGGGAGAGCTGCCGGGCCAGCCGCGAGGCGGCCTACAAACGGGGAAATTGTTCAACTCCGGGGATAACGGTGGACAAAGGGAAGGCACCGCCCCTTGTTTCGGGGAATTTTAAGCGGCACGGCCGATAAAAACTACGGGGGTAATTTTTAGGGGCGGCGTCGGAGGGGTTGGCACCGAAAGCGGGACCTCCGGGGGCCCGTTCGTTATTCCGGGAGCCGCAAAGCCTCGCCCCGGACGGCGCCGCAGACGCCACGTATCTTTCCCCCGGCTCGCGGCGACCCTGGGCTGTTTTTCAATTACCCCGGAGCCGGAGACTTGGGTGGATTTTCCGCAGGATACAAAGTGCCTCGTCCTTACGGCCTCGGCAGGCTAAGAAACGAGCCGACCTCTCAAAAGTGGCCGTTACGTCGTTTCCTTGCGTTCGCGCTCGAACCGACGCTTCGCAGAGGAAAGGGCGGACCCTCGATTTGGATTGAGGGGATGCTCTGAAATTTGAATCCCCGTTCCGACAGGGTGGAGTCGCGACCAAACGGCCGATTACAATCCCCGGGATTTTCGAGGGGGAAATTTCCGGCCTCGATCGTGAATGAAAAAAAAAAATCAAAAACGCAAACACTACGTTTGATATCGCCCGGCAGCGGCTTTTAGGGGGATGAAAAAACGCTCTTGCGAGGCGCGGCCATTCCACGCTGCACGAGGGAGAGAGCAGGTTGCTCGCTTTACTGCGGCGTTGATTGTACTTTATGATAATATTTATGATAATGAGCTCGGATACGAGGAGCCGCGCGGCTCGTTTAATTTCGATTTCGCGTCGAGAAATGGCGGGGCTCGCGATCAAACCGCGGAGAAAAATGAAATACCGCGAGCCCCCGTAATCGGGTACTTTTTCCTACCGCAAATTGCGCCGATTGAAGCCGACACCGCCGAGCTGACTAGTTAAATTCGCTTGATCGGTGCATCGACGAAGGGGCGAAAAAAGTTGATGGCTTGATCGAAAGCGGTGCCGCCCGACCGCCGAATGGAAAGTTCGGTCACACCGATGAACTGGCGCGCCGCGCCAAGTGGAATTCCGTCCGCTAGGCACCGAAAACGAGAACTCTCTTCGCGATGTGTAATCGAGCTCTCTCTATTTTTTCCTTTCCCCCTTTTTCCCCACGGCAAACAACGGCGCTCGTTCGGTAATTTCTTCCTACGGCTCCATTACGTTATAACTTATCCGTAAGAAATTCTGCAGGGCTGTTCCCAGCCCCGGACGGATATTCCTCGGCTCACCTTGGTTTCCTCTCAGGCTCTGCTGCCGACAGGTCCTGGTCCTTAATTCTCCCGGGAAAACGTGAATTCTCCTCCAACGTACGCCGAGCTCTCGGCCTCGGATGAGATTCAGTGATTACACAAGGTTATGCGAAGCTCGGTGTGCGCCGAGTTGCTTCCCTTGAAAAGTGGAAGAGCACCAAAAGGGCGATCATCTCACCTCCTCGAAAGGGACCAATGAGCGAGATATAGAGTCTAGTTCACGTTTCAAACGCGTCCAGAACGCTCTTTGTGAACGGACTCTAAATATCCAGGAATAGCCGATGCCTTTAATCCCTCCACCTGGCTCGGACCTCCCGAGCACCGTCGGCATTTCTCCTTAATTTATTTAAATCCGCCGGAAGGGGTGAGTCAAATCAACGGGATATAATTCCGTGGCAGAAACAATTATACGGCAATGCATGTACGCCCTCTGCAGTCGGCAACCGCGACGTTTAATTTCCCTCGGTAAACGTCGATCCCCGAGCAGTTTCGGCCGGCA